CATTTTCCTTAATGAAGATATTTCCCCTTTCTTCTATTAGCCGCCCTTTAAATCTCTCGTCCGCCGCCACCGTCGGGAGCCTAATCTATCCTCCGCCTTCTCAGTGGTGGTGCTTGTTTCTCCCGGTGGTCCAATCTACTGAGTAACACACCCATTTTGAATTTTTTTTTCTTGAAAACAACAATCAAAATCTACGAATTTTCCGGGAGGTTTTGTCGGCAATGATTTGTTGTAGGTATTAGTCTCCTCGGCGAATAAAAAAGCCAAACGAGAACAAAAAAAAAAAAAAAAAGACGAAAACAAGTAAAGATCTCAAAAACCGAGACTTGGAGAGAGTCTACTACTATACTTTTAGTTTTAGCTTTTTTGGACCTGATTTTTCGAAATTTTCTCGGGAAAACAGATTCTTTAACAGATCAAAGAACAACTGAGAGAGAAAGAGAGATGGAGACGATGATCATTGATCAGACAAAGGTGATAGTTTGGTTCCGCATGTGAGACCCTTTTGTTTCTCCCTTTCATTTTAGATTTTTTTTTATAATTATAATAATTGCGGGGAAGTTTAGTTCTTGGCTGCCTCCACCACCAGAAAATTCACCCAATTATGCATTGCTCCCTCATAAAGAGAATTTTATTATGAATATAAAATAAATAATACAATGATATGTTCTTACTTATATAAAATGTGTATACATATAATTATTAATTTATAATTTTAATGGAACCATATATTTACATAGAATTCTCTAAAAAAAATTATCTTATTATTTTATCGATTTGTATCAAATTTTGAATCGGTTCAAATTGAGACCAACAAAATTTATTAATTTATAGAGATTATTAATTTATTGAGTATTAATTTATAGAGGTTCTACTATATTTATATTTCTTAAATACTTTTTTATCGTTTTAATCCTTAAAAAGAATTATCTCATAAATATTTCAAAATTATTTTTATAGATTAAAATTTACACATATTTTTAAAACCACAAAGATAAAATTTAAAATATTTGAAAATTAAAGTTAGACATATTATAAGATTTAATGTGGTTTTTGTTTATCGTTTTATATTTAATTATATATTTATATTTATTAATTTATGTATATTTTTCTCAATTTAAAATTTTGGAGTATAACATCTTTAAACTTTGAATATAAAATTTTACAAATTCATAAATAGAATTTGTTTTTTCGGAGATACGCTTAACATATAATTTAGCGTGCGTTGAACCGGTTAATGGGCTTTTGGTACGTTAAAACTCCATTAATATAAATGACGTTAGCAATTAGTATGTTAGATAATGGGCTTTAATGGCCCATTAATTTGACATTGACCCCAAATTTGAGTTTTTATTTGCTCTGTGATCTTACCCTCAATAGTCAAATATGAATTAAGAAGGGTACTTACTTCGACCAAGTTATTGCCTCTTCCTTTACATTTTTGGATAACATTTTCTGCTATGATTGTTATCTAATAAAATAATAAATATGGGGACTGTAAGCGTATAGTTAAGCGGAGAACACAACAAGCCATATATAGAGGCAAAATTAACATTCTTAATACATTATCATAAACTTTTAGCAAAAAAAACTTGCCATTTTAAAACTACCTGTCGGATTTTAAGTAAGTTTAGTTCAATTTGCGTATTCATTTCATTCTAATGCCTACAAGTTCATAGCTAGAAAACCATACTGCATTTATCTGTTAAATCAATTATATACATATTCATGTGTAATTATGGTCTATAATACTAATCTTATTTGTTTTCAATGCAATATTAGTTGCTCTCGTACTAGTTTCGACCAAGTTGATGTCTATGCTTTTTATAAAATCATATAAAATGTGCTGTAAAATACTAACTGAGGAAATAATCACGTAAGCGTAAAGAAAAGATTATCAGTGGAAAAGAGAGGAAAAAAAACAAAAATAGCAGATTATGTTTACAAAAGTACACATATTACATTGCTTACGGAATTAGTAAAGTCGCCTGACATGTAACAAATTACGGTTAAGTTCGGTATGCATACACCACTTGCTCGTTTCTGATACGGTCCAGTCTAGAATACGTGCAAACATAAAATAGTAACATCATGGTCCATATCCCATATGTAACGTAAATTTGTAATGCCCAACCATGACATATGTTTGTAATCGTTTGTTTATGATTGTGTTCTCTCGATTAGATCTTAAACCAAAATTAACAAATATTAACTCTCTTGGCATTGTCCTATCTCATCAGATCGGGTGATCATCTAATATTTTCAATCCCTGAACCAATTTATAAAAAAAAAACATTGTTAAAAATATTTATTTAAGCAGTAAAAATAATTTTGAGATATTTACCGTAAATTTCTAATAGCTTATATCTAGTTTCTTGTGTGTATATATATAGTGAAACCTCTAAAAACTAACAATGTTAGAAATTTAAAATTTAGTAATTTATGGAGATATTAATTTACAAGTTTCCTTATTTAGATTTTTTATTTTAAAATATATTCATTCTAAAACAAAAATATTTAATTTTAATATATAGACATTAATTATTATTTTAAAATTTAACATCTATATTGATTCTATTATATTATTTGGTGTCTATAATATATATTGCATAGAATATAAATATGGTTTTAGATATTATATTACTAAATCTCTTCAAAATATATTAAATGTTAAGAAAATATAAAGATAATTTAATTGTGAATATAAAACAAACAGTATTATGATAGGTTCTTACTTATATAAAATATGTATACATATAAATTATTAATTTATTATTTTAATGAGACTATATATTTAAACATAATTTTTAAAATATATTATCTTATTATTTTATTAATTTATGTCAAACTTTGAATTGGTTCAAACTAACACCGGTAAAATTTACTAACTTGTAGAAATTATTAATTTATTAAGTATTAATGTATAAAAATTCTACTATATATATATATATATATATATATATATATATATACATATACACTGAACTACAGTTCTCTCTAGAGAGAGTAATTTGATTACTTAAATTAAATTTGTATATAGCTAGGTATCCGGTAATGGATCGATCATGTAAACGAAAAGTGCATGTATTTTTTTGTTTGTTGATTCAAACGTAAATATAAACAAAAATAAAAGATTATGTCTGCACTTGACTACAATATTACAGACGTGAATGCAAAACTGCACTTAAACAGAAACATTTATAATGTGAATGAGGATGAAAACATGTGCAGTTTAAATAAACAAAAGTCCTAATGGTGTGAGTCAGTGAGTGTTTGATGTTTCAAAAGTACAGGGAGTTGGTGGCATTGCAAGGAGGTTAAGCATATATATCGGTCTACGGATCTTGATCTTTCTAAAACGAAGATGATTATTTTGTTCCTTGTGAGATCTAGTTCCACTATGATTTTTTCTCATATATTATATAGAGAAAAATCAAAAAGGAGGCAAATTATATGTGCTGATTCAAATTTTTATCTGTATGCTTTTCCATCAAGCATTTTAGTTTTAGTTACAACTGACGTTATATATCTTACATAGTGATTTTTTTGGGTATAAATCTTACATAGTGATTCTTACGATAATATAGTCTCTTTCGTGGACGGTAACGGCTAAATCATATGAGACGAGGTTACGAGGCACTATTATCACACAACCGATAGGAAAGGAAAATTGTGAAGGATAATGGTTTTTAATAAGAACTCATAGCAAAAGGAAAGGAAATTTTGTAAAGCTGCAGCCACTTCTTTAGCAACCCCAAAAAACGCTTATGCACAAAGCCAGAATCATGTTACAGTATCAAGCAGGTCCCACATTGTCACGAGATTTTAATTGTTCTTTTGCATTATCGGTTTAACATATTGAGAGAGTAAATATTATTTGTTTATCATGTTGATCATACTTTCACAAACCCTCTATTCACTATAAAATTTAGTTATATATCTCATTTTATTCTCTTCCTAAGGTGATGATAAAAGAGACAAAATGAAAAAAAAAAATATTCTAGGAAAAAACCAAAACACCATGGGCTTGCTCGTCGCACACTCCAATTTTATCTGTCGGTAGTGTTAGCACACACGCACAATGTCCACGAACAAATAGACAATAGTCTAATTATATTAGTGATAGAGAATATAATATTACCAAAAGATGAGAAATTATTTATCTAATACCCCGTTTGTTTTAAGATATAATTTTAAAAATGTATTCCCGTTTTAAATATAAATTACATCCTGACCAGGTGTTTGATTTTGATAAGATAAATAATTAACATTTTAAAATAATACTATCAAATTGTATAATAAATACAATTAGTGAAGTGGTTAAAATGAGTTTAAAGAGAAATGTAAAATTATAATAAATGATTTAAAAATTGAATTTTTTTGTTTTGTATTTCAATTTTAATAGAATAGATTATTATATACTTCTTTGCGATAATTATATTTGTTGGATATTATGGAATTAAATATACATTATAATTTTCACTATAAATTTTCAAATTATATTTAAAACATAAAATAATTTAATATAAGATTTTTTATCTATTTAACATATATTAATATTATAAAACGAAAAAGAGTACAAAATTTAGTGGGATTTTTTTAATATTTCATATCATTTAGGAAGCTTATTACATATTTTAATTTTAACATTCTAAGACCTATTATCTAGTTACTACAAAAATGAAAGACCTTAATTAGTTAGTTATTATAATAGAATTGAACTTCATAGCAATAAAATTAATTATATAAACCTTATAATTTACATTTTAAAGAGTTTCATTTATTTGTAAACTCTAATCAATATGTATGTAAGTTCCAATTAATGTAATGAAACAACAGAATCATAAATAAAAGATTTTTTTGTTCTTAGAATTAAATATGAAATTGCATAACAACAACATACACAATTGATTTCCCCCAAAAAAAGTAACTGAATCAGATTTTTAAAAATAAATGATAAACAAAAGGAAGAAAGCAATTACATAATTAAGCCTGGATTCTGATGTAGATAATTAATTAAAAATGTACTGGGAAGTTATATATAAACACATCTCGTGAGTCACTCGCAGTTGCAGAGTCACAGACAGTATCAGCTACCACCACCATCTATATATAAGTATAAAAAATAATCTCAAACACCGACGTTTATTTTTTATATCCTCCGACGCCGAGACATTATGAAATTACATATTAACCCTCTCTTACTTATATTCTTCTTCCTCTTTGGCGCGGCAATGTCGCACGACTACTCCGACGCACTCTCGAAATCAATCCTCTTCTTCGAAGGCCAACGCTCCGGTTACCTCCCCAACGACCAGCGTCTGACGTGGCGACGGAATTCCGGTCTGAGCGACGGATGGACGCACAACACCGATCTAACCGGCGGTTACTACGACGCCGGAGACAACGTGAAATTCAATTTTCCGATGGCTTTCACCACCACGATGCTCGCTTGGAGCGTGATAGAGTTCGGAGAGCTCATGCCTCCGCCGGAGCTACGTAACGCACTGGTGGCACTCCGGTGGAGCTCCGATTACCTCCTGAAATCCGTTTCGCAGCTACCAAACCGAATATTCGTCCAGGTTCGTTCGTCGTAAATGTCAAATTCAATTTCGTAACTGTTTTTTTGCCGGTGAGTGAGTGGCAAATGCAATAAGGAGAGGGGTAGTTTGGGGAATTTGAATAGTTTTTAAGGGAAACTGAGAGAGTCGTTTTGGTTGCCAAAACAACAGAAAGTTAACCCCGTGATCGTGAGTGGCTGTTTTGTTAATAGAGAGTCCTCTGCATTTACCCCTTTTTTTGTTTGTCGTTGCGTCACACTTTTTTGGCCCCTTCCCTTTTCCTTCATTTAATTTCCTACGAAATACTATCAAAAAGAAAAAAAGAAAGAAAGAAATTTGCCAAAATTAGTTTTGTATTGAATTGATTATTGCACACGCATAACGTCGAATTAATGTTGCAGCTAATTAACTCTAAGCCATACTGTAAAAGGAAAAAGTAAATTACTCTGTGATTTTACATTACTATAAAGATCAATATATACTTTGATTTGTGTGCTCGTACTTTGTAGTAGTAGATATAAAGATGACCCACCTACTATTAGTGGCCATACTTTATATATTTGGGAACCAACAACTATCAATTTTGTTGACTACAATTGCAATCAGTGGATAATGAGAATTTCAGTAACACACATATAAATAGGAGTATATTAGTGCATTGATTATATAATTTATTAATATTGATTCAGGGGTCGTAACCGTATGATCATTTAATAATACGAGTCTAGGATATGTGAGCGGTGATAGAGACTTGGCACTCTCAGAATCCTCCAATTCTCTTTGTTCCAGTATTACTAGAGAAATCAGAAATTATATATGATGTTGATGTTGTTTGGTATATTTCTTATGTTATTCATTATTGATTTACTTTATTTTAGAGAGTTTTAAAATAAACTAGGTAGATGCGTATCTAATAAAATGAACTTGTGATAGGTAGGTGATCCAATTGCAGATCATAATTGCTGGGAACGTCCTGAAGATATGGATACACCACGTACTGCTTACGTCGTAAATGCCCCAAATCCAGCTTCTGAAGTGGCCGGAGAAATCACAGCGGCCCTCTCCGCCGCTTCAATTGCTGTGCGATCATCGGATCCAGGCTATTCTCATACGTTGCTCCAAAACGCTGTAAAAACGTTTCAGTTCGCTGATATGTACCGAGGTGCTTATAGCAGCAATGATGATATCAAAAATGACGTTTGCCCTTTCTACTGCGATTTCAACGGATTTCAGGTAAAAACACCCACCCCTTTTTTATTTGGTCGCTAGAAAAAACTAGTAATATAACTTTCAACACGCGGAAGTATTCACAAAATCTTGATAATTATTACATTTTTTTCTTGGTGATTTTTGTTTAATTTATAATTAATGTTGTTTAGGATGAGTTATTGTGGGGAGCAGCTTGGCTAAGAAAAGCGACTGGTGATGAAAGTTACCTTAGCTACATTGAGAGTAACCGTGAACCCTTTGGTGCTAGCGAGAACGTAGACGAATTTGGTTGGGACAACAAAATTGGTGGACTTAATGTTCTCGTGTCCAAGGTATCACTAACTTTTTGATCAGAATTACGTGAACTTTAATTAACTCTCGCATGTAAAGCAAATATAAACACGAGCTTTTCACGTGCACGTAAAGATTATGTTCTTTTCTTTCCGTGTACGTGAAGAACCCAACATGGCCCGGTTAAGACACAAAATCCGGTATATATGGTAACCGATATGAATTTAAAGGGTTTAGTTGATTTTAATTCTGGTACAGGAAGTTATAGCAGGGAATATGTACAACCTAGAGGCGTACAAGGCGTCGGCGGAGAGCTTCATGTGTAGTTTGGTGCCGGAGTCTAAGGGAGAGCACGTTGAGTATACTCCCGGCGGTCTTCTTTACAAGCCCGGCGGTAGTCAGCTACAGCACGCGACCACAATATCTTTCCTCATGCTTGTCTACGCTCAGTACCTTTCTAGAAGTTCCCTCTCCCTCAACTGTGGCAGCCTCTCTGTCCCTCCTGATCATCTACGCCGTCTCGCCAAGAAACAGGTTAATCCCGTTTGTTGTTATAGTGGTTGTTTTCTCATCTTACTGACGAACCCGACGTTATACATAGCATAGCAAAATAATACAAGTTTATTTTCACGATTGTTCCAAAAAAAAAAAAAAACTTAGACTGTTACTATTAGGGAATATTAGTCTTATTTTGTTATGATATTTACGCTAATTTATTTATTGGAAAATTAATTGAAGGTGGACTATATATTGGGGGAGAATCCAATGGGATTATCGTACATGGTCGGGTACGGAGCGAGGTATCCAAAGAGGATCCACCACCGTGGCTCATCCCTGCCGTCGATCGTAGACCATCCAGGCGCCATCGGGTGCAAAGACGGATCGGTTTATTTCAACTCGACCGAACCAAACCCGAACGTTTTGATTGGAGCGGTGGTGGGCGGGCCCGGAGAGGACGATAATTACGATGATGAGCGGCCTGATTTCCGCAAGTCAGAGCCCACTACTTACATCAACGCTCCTTTCGTTGGTGTATTGGCTTACTTTGCAGCCAATCCTAGTTTTAACTGACGTCATTATTGGAGTAACAGTAGATATCGGGAGCACTTTTTTTTTTATTTCTTTTAAAGTCCCTCTTAGGCAATCTTACACACGCAAAACTAAGAAAGAAATTTTCAATCTGAATATCTCATTCGGATTTACTTTACTTGGATATAATCTTCTAATTCGTATCTCATGCATACGCATAAATAAAGTTGTTACGACAAATTCAAACTTTTATCTATTTTTCACCAAGAGATTCACAGCCAAACTATTTTTCTTTTTTAAGTTTCTTTATGTATACAAATATTTTATTTATTTTTGACCTATAGCAGATTCAAAGTCTTTTCAAAGCTTCCTCTGGTTGAATTCTTCGGAATCATCCAAGATATCGAACTTCTCTCTTTAAAATTTTCTTCTGTTTTTCTAAAAATTTATGGAGAGATTGTTGAACTCTCTAGCTGATCATATTGCTAAAGCTATTCCTTGTACTGCTAATCCTTCTCCCCCATCTTAGGTGTTTCAAGGTGATTTTCTTGCCATTGAATTCACTTCCCACTATCGTTGTGTTTCTTGTGTTCTAGTTTCGCGGATCTTTTTTTTCATGTATGTCTCTGTCCAACCTTCCATAATGTTACTACAAATCTGTATCGATACTTAATGTCTTGTTCGCTCCAAAGTAGAACAGTTTCAAGTTCGACTGATGATTGCTTCCATGTTTTTTACCTTGTTTGCCATGAAACTAAATTTTAAAGGTCTTATAGTTTGTTTATCACATCTTGTAAGCCTCAACAATTTTCTGAAAGGATATTTACCATTTACAACAAAATAATTTAAGTCGATTATGGTATGAACTAACACGGAAAATAGATAATCACTGATTATACATTTATATTTTACATGAATAGCAATCTAGAGGAGAGCACAACAATTTTATTTTATATTATTGGTTTAGACGAAAGGAAGACAGACGCGCAGGTCAGATCAGCCCGCCGCTTCAGTCTTATTTTTGTTACTTCTCTAGATATACATACAATAAAACCTTTATGAGTTAATAATGCCAATATTGTGAAATTTATTAATATGAGCATGTACAAAGAAAAAAAACATGAGTATTTACATCAAATCCTAATTTGAATTCCCTTGAATTTGTTGTGTGACCCTACTGATGATAACAATCACTAAGTAATACTCCCTCTCACTGTTTTAAAATACATGAAGTTTTAGGATATTACTCACCAATATTAAAAAGAAATATTTTATCTAAAATATTGTTAAAATGTAAACTATATTTTCCCCAATTGTAAAAATAGATTACAAAGCATCAAAACTTCTTTAAACATTATTTAAACATTATCTATTTTTAAACGGAGAGGTATATTTAAATGGTCTTTGACTGCACAAATGATTTATTGTTCGTATGATTATATTTATAGCCCATTCATGTGTTTTTAGTTTTAATATGATACATTGCTCTCGACTGAATTTTATCTGGTATAACAAAAAATGGAAAACGATATATTCACCAAAGTTAGGAGTGTGATAACTCAATAACAAATATTTATATGCATGAAAAAAAAAACTCATGCAAGAAAATCAACATTAAAGAAGAGTTCTTCCTGCAATATTTGCGTCTGAATCTTTTTAACTAATTTTATATATATTTATAAGTTTAGCTACTGATAAGATATAATTTAATTCATTTTTCCTTGCACATTGTTCTTTTTATAGGATATGGACATATGGAGAATTTATAAATATTCACACAGAGACAACAGATAAATGAGAAAATAATTTCTACCATCACAGCTGGCATTTTATATAATGGGCATCTCGGTTTTATTACGGGTTCGGTTTGGTTTGGGTTGTTTAGGTCCAAGAAAACTTTATCCAAACTCAATCCATATTAGTTTGGTTTGGTTTGGTTTATGATTGGTTTGGTTCGATTTTAGTTTGGTTTGGTTTATGTTTGGTTCAGTTTAGTTTGGTTTGGTTTGTGTTCAGTTTGGTTTAGTTCGGTTTAGTTTGTGTTTTATTAGATTTAATATGGCTTTGTTTGTAGATTTCAATTACAAAAATATAATTTATAAAAACATTAACAAATCATCACTTGACACTAAATCATTATTTTCTCCATATTTAAATTCGGGTTGATAAAATCTTGAACCAAATGATTTAAACATATACTTTACTTCGGTTTGGATCGGTTTAAGTTTGATTGGGTCGGTTTGGATTTGTTCGATTTGGGTTTTTTGTCCACCCCTAGTATATATATCGAATACCTAACCAAAAAATATATGGTCACATTTCGTATCCAAATTAAGCCGAGTAAATTCCGGGATTTGTACAGAACCAAAAAAGTGTATACAAGGAATAAAATTGGTCAGAGTTACTATCTACACATATAAAATTTAGATGTACAATAGTCTCAAGATTAACATGTTTTTTTAATCTTTTAACATTCTACATTATCTTATTTTTCTTGTATCTCATCATTCAACATATATTTAATTTTTACATACTATAATGATTTTGTTTTTATAGATTCAGCACTCAATTTACTAATTACTTTTTTATCTTTTTCAAATTAATGAAATATAGTCTATATTTATAGAAAATCTAAAATAATATTTTTTGTCTAAAAAATAAAACTAAATTATTTAATTTATAATAGATTACTGCTTTTTTTTTGATCAAATAGATTACTGTTTTTAATATTAAGAAGATATGAAAATATCAAAAATATCTAGAAAATAACATGTGTAGATTTTCACTTTCTTTATCCAATATGTTAAATATTTCCACCAAGTAATCAACATAATCATTTTTTAAATATGCTTATTGTAATGATCATTACACATAGTTTATCTATAATACTCTTTTTCAAAAGTCATTAGAATCAGAAAAGTACAGTTCTATCCAAATAAAAAATCAAAGATTTTTATCTAAATTTGAACTTTAAACAATTGATTAGTAAGATAATGACTGACTTCTTGATAACAGTAGATTTATAACTAAAACAATATTTAATATTTTAATCCACAGATGGATAATGGATGGATAACCACTAAACCAATGCAAAATTGGTTCTTACCAAATTAACCAAATAAGTGTAAGACGTTAGTTCTCTATAAATATGAACTCTAAATCCTCATGCCAGATGCCAAAATCAAAATCTCCCAAAGTCCCTACTGTAAAAAAATAAATAAAAAAATGAAACCATCGATTTTAACTTTAACCGTTTTCGTGCTTCTCCTCTTGTTACCAACGGTGATTCCTCATGACTACTCGGATGCTCTGCATAAGTCAATCCTATTTTTCGAAGGTCAACGCTCCGGTCGACTTCCCAGACAACAAAGGATGTCGTGGCGTGGTGACTCTGGACTCAAGGACGGCGAAAACCTCAACACCGACCTCGTTGGTGGTTACCATGACGCCGGAGACAACGTTAAGTTTCATTTTCCGATGGCTTTTACGGCCACGATGCTTGCTTGGAGTTCTGTCGACTTCGGTTGTTACATGTCTGAGAAGCATCATAAAGACAACCTCGTAGCTCTCAAGTGGGCCACCAATTATCTCCTTAAGACTGTCTCACAACTCCCTCATCGCATTTTTGTCCAAGTATGTTCGTTCGTATAAACTAACCGTTAATGCGCCGTCGTTTTCTATATCAACTGTTCAGTTTATCAAGATTTGTTTTTCACCATCTACTGACATAACAATTATAGTAAAACATCTTTTTAATATTTATATTCACCAATACACACCAACATATCGTTATCAAGAATTTGGTTTTCACCATTTTGTCGTGCGTTGCCGACATTTTAATAATTTTACAATTGAAAAATAGAGCTGAGATATATACGGATGAATTGGTCTACGAGTGTATATATAGTTAACATAAATTTGCATTTGTCAAGATTTTAAAAGATTTATATTATATATTGTTATAACATATAGTCGGAAGGAAATCATAACTCCAAGGTATGTTGATGATGATGACAGAATATCCAAATTGTATATCATCACTGAGACGAAGTAATCAATTATTGGTTTGTCCTAGCTTGTATTATATTTTTTGGAAATCACGGTTTTAAATAAAAAACATATATGGCATACACTCTAACAAAATGAGATTAATATGTTGTAGGTAGGTGAAGCACAGCCCGACCATGATTGTTGGGAAAGACCGGAAGATATGGATACGCCACGAACCGCTTTCGCTATAGATGCACCAGGGCCAGCCTCCGATCTAGCGGGTGAAATAGCTGCAGCTCTGGCGGCTGCTTCTATCGCATTCAAACAATCAAACCCTACATATTCCAGATTATTGCTCAACAAAGCCATACAAACGTTTCAGTACGCAGATATGCATCGAGGTTCTTATGCCGATAGTCCGAACGGGCACAAAGCCGCTTGCCCTTTTTACTGCAGTGCTAATGGATATAAGGTATACATGACCTTCATTCTAAATTTAGTATGTCTGTATAGTACCGATTTTTTTATATTTCAGATATAAAATGGTATTATTTTCATATAGGATGAGTTGCTCTGGGGAGCTGCGTGGTTGAGGAGAGCGACTGGTAGTGATGATTACCTAGAGTACTTGGTGAAAAATCGTGAAAGCTTCGGTGTAGATTACAATTACATGGACTTTGGCTGGGACAGCAAATTTGTGGGAATTGATGTTCTCGTGGCCAAGGTTTGATCCAGTTTTCTCTATCTCGCTCTCTGTATATATATATGATCTTCCAAAACCCACTAGGTCAAAATCATATAAAAGAAATAATTAACCATTGACATTACGATTAATGCTGGCTATTTAAACGTCAATTTGGGTGAACAGGAAATGTTTGAGAAGAATGTGAGTGGGTTAACGCCATATAAAGATATGGCGGAGAAAATGATGTGTACATTATTTCCGGAAACCGCTGGTCCACACTTGAATTACACACCCGCCGGTCTTCTTTCCAACACCGTTGGCTGCCAGCTCCAGAGCGCGGCCGCACTGTCTTTCCTCATCCTGAAATACGCGGACTACCTCTCTAAATTCTCTCAACAACTCACTTGCGGTAACCTCAAGTTTCAACCCGATTCTCTTCGACGCATAGCTAAACGACAGGTACTCAAACATATATCATTTGTTATTGCGTATGTATATATGATTTAGATAGGTCCATTAAAAGCATATATATATGTGTATTATTATTGTTTTCTTTTTTGCGGTAATCAGGTGGACTACATTTTGGGAGATAATCCAATGCATTTGTCATACATGGTTGGGTACGGTGATCAGTACCCGCGACAGATCCACCACCGTGGCTCGTCTATACCGTCTATTAAGGTTCAAAGGACTGCGCCCGGGTGCTTACAAGGGTGGGATATTTTCCATTCAGACAAGCCAAACCCAAACATTCTAGTAGGAGCGGTGGTTGGCGGGCCTAACGTAGATGATTCATTCATTGGTAAACGGACTAATGCTACCGACACAGAGCCCACGACATACACCAATGCACCTTTAGTTGGTGTCCTTGCCTACTTTAGTAGCAATCCCAACTTCCATTGACTTCAGCTTTCGTATATTATTCATGCAACTACAAAATTAGAATTATAACTGTAAACCTTTTTCTAATTCTTGAAAATGTCTTGCGCTATAAACAAACTTGACTTGACAATCACTTGAAATCTCCATATACGTACTCAACCTCAGCCTTAAGAAAACGCATGGATTCACACAATTGTCCTTGTCTATAGATGCATCTTTGGTTCTTAATTATCGGTTTTCTTGACTCCACTCGATTTTTTGTATGAAAACATGGGGAGGAAGAGCTGAGAACGTGAACGAAGCTCAAACCACTCTATTGGCTAGAGTTTATTTAATTATATTTTTTCTAAGGATTTATTCCTGTTGCGATGCTCTAATAAACAGCATTTTGCTAAAAAAATGATGCGGATATTGGGTTACATACTTGTTCGTAGGCCCAATATATATCCATTTAGGGAGTAGGCTCGGTGAATATAAACCCAACGTAGAGACGTCCACGTGGGAGTAAGATATCCAAGGGCAAAAAGGTCATTAAGGAAATATGAGAGAGAGAGAGAATTGGCGAAGATGGGGGGTCCGAGGGAGGGACCCAAAGCAATGCCGATCAATCCAGCGAGAGAGGGAAATGCAAGTTGAAGAAGAGCCAAAATCAGAAGCAGAGAGTGGGTGCTACTTGTGGACACAAAGCTGCTAACTATATATATATATATATATATATATATATATATATATATATATATATATATATATATATTTGTTTTTTTACAAGCCAAGAGCTGCTGCGGCGTTCACAGAATAATGAACGACATTCTCTTAGAAGCAGGAAGAATTAACTGCTTCAGATTGTTGTTTCTGGAAGAAGAAGAAGAAGACAACTCCACAACAAGGTAGGGCAATTAAAAGACCTCTTTGCCTATGGAGTTCCCAACAAACAAACAAGTGAGATGCATATTTTTCTATTGATTTCCCCTCTGCTTTTGTTTGTTTGTTTGTTAAACTAGACTCGAATCTCTCCTCTCTCTCTCTCTCTCATATATACCTTAAAACGTGCATTGGTGACTTTATTACAATAATGTCGTCTCTCTACTGATGAAGACTTTTCAATACTAAACTCAAAAGTTTATTCTCTTTTCTAGTAGATTATTTATAATCCGAGTCAGTTTTCAAATGTCTGGAAGAATATGATAACCTTTTTTTTCTTCTTTTCTAGACTTATATATATATATTCATCTCCGATAGAGAAAGATAATAGTTTTTCGATTTAACAAATGTTTTAGATTGGCAAACCGTTACCTAAGTCGTCAAACGTAGTGGGTGACCATAATATAGGAGTCGGCAGTTATCTCTTTTTCCCTTTCTTCAGTTGAGGTTGGCCACCTTCTATGTTCTAACTAAACTGCCTTCTTCTTTGTATCCTTTATAACAACAACAACAACCATGTCTTCTCTTCTTTATTTCCTGTGTTTGGTTCTGCACTGAATCCCCTCTCTATCTCTCTCTCTATTGAGTCTCTTATAGGCATGTTCATTTTTAGTATCTTCTGTTTTTCTTTTTGGTTTGGTTGAGTTCGGTTTTTCCCATTTATTTATGCTTGTGTTAGTTACAAAATGATGTCTCTCCCTATCTTGCCTTTGAACTTCTTTCTGCAGTCCTGAATATACATATTCAGCAGAGACTCCAATCTTACATGTCTAACTAAAGTTGTATTATTTTCTCAGTAAAACGAGGTTACACTGATATGAAACCAATGAGCACTTGTTGAAGCAAAAAAATCCATAAGAAAGATGGAAAAGACAGACACTCGAGAAGAGAAGATACTTGTTCTGGTGAGATTGAGGCCCCCTAACGAGAAAGAGATTGCCGCTAACGAACCTACCGATTGGGAATGTCTCAATGATACCACCCTTCTCTACAGAAGAAACACTTTGCGCCACTCCTCCAACTTTCCTTCTGCTTATTCTTTTGGTAAACTAACTAACTATACATGTCTATATATTAGATCTTGTAACCTGATTTTTCCAACGAAATAGGTAGCCCTCCTGATTCTGAAAATCATCCCACATTTCATCTTAAGAATGATGAGACGAACGTAATTCTACTTGTACCTAAATTTTCTAGTCCATGTTTAAGATGATATTTACCTTTTTTGTAATGAACTCAACTCTACCTGGCCTTGATATTCTAGACAACTACCTTTATATCCCTCACCCTTTCATCTGTATTGTTTATGTCAGACTCATATTTCCCATCTTTGTTTTTTTTTTTGGTTTGGGTGACAGATAGAGTATACGGAGGTGAATGTCCCACCCGACAAGTTTACGAGAATGGAACCAAGGATATCGCTCTATCTGTTGTCAAAGGAATCAATTGTAATCTTTCTTGGCTCGCTCACCCAGTATCTGTGTTTTGTTGATGATGATACGGTATGCTCAAATTATTGCAGCTAGTATTTTTGCGTACGGCCAGACGAGTAGCGGAAAGACGTACACCATGTCTGGTATTACTGAGTTTGCTGTGGCTGACATTTTTGACTATATTTTTCAGGTTCACCCTTCTTCCCAATTTATTTATATATATATATATATATATATATATCAACCCCCTTTTTTGTTACCAAGTTCTATTGCACCAATACTAACTGAATCTGGATGTTGTCTTTAGCATGAAGAAAGGGCATTTTCCGTGAAATTTTCAGCTATTGAGATCTACAATGAGGCCATTCGAGATTTGCTTAGCTCGGATGGCACATCCCTTAGGCTACGAGACGATCCTGTGGTAAAATTTCTAATGCCAAATTGTTTACTGAGCCCTTTTTTTTTTTAGTTTGTAAACTAATGTCTTGGTTCTTACCAGAAAGGGACAGTGGTTGAAAAAGCTACAGAGGAAACTCTGCGAGACTGGAACCATCTCAAGGATCTTCTATCTCTTTGCGAAGGTTCAAAATTATTGAAGTAGCCATATGATAAAATATTGGTCCGAAAATCAGATTGCTATTCAGATTAATGTTGTCACTTACATGTCTCTCTAATATTTTTTTGCAGCACAACGTAAGATTGGTGAAACCGCATTGAATGAGAAAAGTTCCAGATCTCATCAGATTATCAGACTGGTTAAACTCTTATCTTGTATTTAAGAGAGAAAGGTTATCTTTTACTTAGCTTCGGCTTTTGAATGCATGGTTAATTTTCTAGACGGTTGAAAGCTCTGCTCGTGAGTTCTTAGACAAAGAAAACTCCACCACCCTCATGGCGAGTGTGGTATGCTCTCTCTCTCATCAAAAACCTTTCTTTTATGTTGGATCTCGAGTTTGTTTTTTGTTCTTCTAATAACCACCGTGTTCTTGTAACGTGCAGAATTTCATCGATCTGGCGGGAAGCGAGCGTGCATCACAGGCGATGTCAGCGGGTGCGAGACTCAAGGAAGGCTGCCATATCAACCGGAGTTTGCTTACTCTTGGAACAGTCATCCGTAAACTTAGGTGTGTAATACATTGCTGCTCTCTTACGCAAGCTGCTTAGTAGATTAACTAAACTTTGGGGTGATCTAGTAAGGGAAGTAGGCAAGGGCACATCAACTTTAGAGACTCCAAGCTCACACGAATTCTACAGCCATGCTTGGCGGGTAATGCAAGAACCGCCATCATCTGCACTCTGAGCCCAGCGAGAAGTCATGTAGAGCTAACGAGGAACACTCTCTTGTTTGCTTGCTGTGCAAAGGAAGTTACCACAAAGGCGCGGATCAACGTCGTTATGTCAGACAAGGCCCTGCTGAAGCAACTACAGCGTGAGCTTGCGAGGCTCGAGACCGAGCTGAGAACCCCTGCCACACCTGCCTCAAAATGTGATTGTGCCATGACTGTGAGGAAGAAGAATCTTCAGATACAAAAGGTTTGTGAACACGCATACATAAAATGGCTTCTACTTTTCAGGTTGGGTTAATGCTCTTACGAAGGTGTAATGTTATGCAGATGGAAAAGGAGATGGCGGAGTTGAGACAAGAGAGAGATCTTGCTCAATCCCGACTTGAAGATATCATGAGAATGGTTGAACACGATGAGGCCTCAAAGGTATTTTTCTGGCTCCTCCTACAAAAATGATTTCTGTGACATTTCTGCTAAATGGCTTGCTTCTGCTCTGTTGAAGTCTGGAACTCCGCACCACATAGACAAATGGGAGGATGGTTCTGTGACACCGCTGTCAATAACAAGAGCTTATGTTGGGTCTCACTCTGATGATGATGAAGAGCTGCCTACGCGTTCAGAAGATCCATCTGAAGAATATTGCAGAGAAGTTCAATGCATTGAGATTGAGGAATCAGCTAACAAAGACGAAGAAAAAAGAGCACAACCTAAAAGCATTTTAGACCGTGGTGATGATGGTGAAACGAGTGTAGGCCAAAACGTGAGGTCGAGAAGCTGGAACCACAGCACGAGCACTCCACCTGAAAACCTCGGAAGACCAGAAGAAGAGAGTCACAAGAAGATTGTGTTTTCTGGTGGTTTAGAGTTGGGTTCTAGTGTGTCAAGGAATGATTCGCTGTCTTCTTGCGGGAGCGATTCCACTGCGACTCAGAGCATCAGAACGCCCTTGGGAGAAGAGGGAGGTATCACTAGCATCCGGACTTTCGTTGATGGTCTCAAGGATATGGCTAAGCGTCAAGGCGAGGTAAACTTATATATAATTACCAGTCTGTTCTGTTCTTCTTCTTTTTAGTAGATTACAACTTATTTACAAGTTTTATGTTTGATCAGGAGGTTTCGAATGCTGATGATTCTGGGAAAATGGGGAGGGATATTAGTCTGGTTATTATGGACATGGAATTTGAGAGACAGCGGCGTGAGATTCTGGAGCTATGGGAAACCTGTAACGTCTCTTTGGTGCATAGAACATACTTCTACTTGCTCTTCAAAGGAGATGATGAGGCTGATTCAATCTACATCGGAGTTGAGCTAAGAAGACTTGTGTTTATGAAAGATCGCTTCTCTCAGGGAAACCAAGCCTTGGAAGGAGGAGAAACCTTAACTCTGGCTTCAAGGTTAGTTACTTTTTTTTGGGTGTTTGTATATAGCGTTTGCAGTTTTGTTTAAGGGACTAATCTTTTGCTTTTGTGGCGTTGGTAAAAGCCGAAAGGCGCTTCACAGGGAGAGAATGATGCTGAGCAAGCTTGTTGGGAAAAGGCTTTCAGGAGAAGAGAGGAGAAAAATCTACCGCAAGTTTGGGATAGCGGTCAACTCAAAACGCAGGCGTTTACAACTTGTGAACGAGCTTTGGAGGAATCCCAAGGACATGAGTCAGGTTGTGGAAAGCGCAGATGTTGTAGGGAAGCTTGTGAGGTTCGCAGAGCAAGGGAGAGCCACGAAAGAGATGTTTGGTCTGGCCTTCACGCCTCCTTCCTTCTTGACAGCTCAGAGAACGCGTAGCTGGAGAACAAGCATGCCTTCGCTTTTTTAACAATCTGTCCTTTCCGTTATAAGCCATATTAATACTTTCGTGTAGCAGTGTGTATATCTTTCTTCTTTGTGTCTTTTCTTTTCCTTTTTTTTTTTATTTTGAAGAAGCCAACGTTGTGTAACTGATGTATTTTTCGGAATCAAAACTGTTATTTGGCATCTGTTGGTTAAATTTACAGTCAAGTTTGGAAAAAGTCCATTACATAATAATATGAGAAATTTGTGTGTATATGTGATTAGTTCACTCAATAAATGAGAGAAGAAGACAACACTTGAGTTCCCAAAAATATTTCAGATAAGTAGAGGTGTGAGAAACAAGATCAAATGGAGTTTTAATTGGACATAATAGAATATAAAAAAATAAATAGATGGGGTCTCTCAAAGCCGACATATTCATGCAAGCGAAACCAATGCGTGTGTCTACTAACCCGATAAAAAATAATATAAGAAGAAAAAGCTGTTGGACTGACCAGCTCGGGAGGACAAGATGATACAGACGATGAGACCGCATAGAGGCCGAGCTTCAGCGAAGATGAGGATAAGAATCATACCAACGAAAAGCTTTGGCTCTGCCATCACAAAACAAAAAGTTGCTTATCAAACAACATATATATATATATATGAGGGGAGTATACCTGACACCAGCATCACCAACAATACCAATGGCCATTCAGCAGGAAGAGGTATTAAGATTTAGCCTTGGGAGGTTAATACCGGTACTTACTGATGATAACAGCCCCCTAATATGGGCTTTAATATGGGCTTTATTATTTGGGCTCCCTTCGGCCCACGTTTTCATATGTAGATAGACGATACTATCCTCCCTCCTTGGCTCCCGAGATCTTTCTTCAATTCCCCTGCCTCGTTTCTCCTTCCATATCCCTTCGTAAGCTTTCTCTCAATTTTTTTCGATACGTAGTTCGCTTAATCCGAATATGTACATATACTGTTCACCTTCGGTATCTCAATTTCGATTTTTTTTTTTTTTTCGAATTTCGTTTCTTATTGATTGGGAGCTCTCAACTTGAAATCAAAACTGTTTGGATGGTTATATATATCTTTGAGATACTCTTTTATTTAATGCTAATTGTTTGGATTGGATTGGATTGGATTGGATGATCCCAAATTAGCCAAAGCTTAAATTCATGAATGATTGATTGCTTGGTTATCCAACAATAAGTAAATAATTGTATGTAAGCTCCACCACCAACCCTACATACACAGTTCATTGATTAGAAACCGAATTCAAAGAGCCTGTGCTGCTGCTTTGTTATTACTATTTGATTTTGATTTTGTGAAGTCAGAGGATGGAGAGCGGTGGTCAGTATGAAAATGGGCGGTACAACTCCGATTACTACAAAGAAGGAACACACTCTCTGGTAAAGACCAAACCCTTGGTGGCTCATATCGTTTACCTTTTACGTTTGAAACCTAATCGGGATTTGTTTTTATTTCTTACAGTGGAATAGTACTACCATGTCTAATCAGACAAAGGAGGACCAACATAATGCTCTGGTGATGAATCAGAAGATCATGTCCATCCTTGCCGAGAGAGACGCTGCCCTCAAGGAAAGAGACGATGCCTTAGCTGCCAAGCAGGACGCTTTAGCCGCTCGTGACGAAGCATTTCACCAACGTGACAAAGCTCTCTCTCAGAGAGATAATGCTATCTTGGAGAGGGACAGTGCCTTGAGTGCTCTTCAATTCCGTGAACACAATCTAAACTACATTCTGTCACGTGCAAAGCTCGGTGCCTCTCACTTACCCAACCCTTCTCCTTTGTCAACTATTCCACATGAAGCTGCGCCAAGTAAAAGAAAAAAAAAGCGCAAACAGGAAACAAGGTCCAAGGGAACGAGAGTGGGCGAAGATCTTAACCATCAGCTTGCTTCTCCCGGAAAGAAATGCAGAAAAGATCGGGACAGTAACGTTGTCGGCTTAAACCTAGTCACCTTCGATGAGACGACAATGCCAGTCCCCATGTGCACTTGCACTGGTACTGCTCGTCACTGTTACAAATGGGGAAACGGCGGGTGGCAGTCATCTTGCTGCACAACCACTTTGTCTCAGTATCCGCTTCCCCAGATGCCAAACAAACGCCATTCTCGAGTGGGAGGTAGGAAAATGAGCGGAAACGTCTTCTCCAGGTTACTTAGCCGTTTAGCTGGACAAGGCCACGACCTCTCCTCTCCCGTTGATCTCAAGGATTATTGGGCTAGACATGGCACCAATCGCTACATCACTATCATGTAGCCAAAAGATATTCGAGCAATGTATGTTTTCTCTGTTTCTCTCTTTTATTTTTAAATCTCTCTTTTCGTTTTGGTTTTAAAATTTTAGGTTCGATATGAAGCAAAGCTTTTATAGGTTCATTATTATTTTTTTATTGTCCATATAGTTTAGTTAATGCAAATGGTTAGTACTATTGTTTTGGTTTGGTCTGTGTGTTTATGTAATTAATAAAGCAGTCTAGTGAATGCTTGTCAATATCTTCGAATCTCAAGTTGCTTTAACAAATTCTCCATTCTCTTCGCTTTCCTGATGTCTCTGAGGGGACATTACAGGGCAAGAGCCTATGACAGCCGCCACAGATGTTGCAGCAACTCAACATCAGCTAGTTAAGACAGCCGCCATAGAACCAGAATGGAACCATGACAACAACACCAACCTGAATCAGAGTAGAGCGGCTGTTGAGGTGTTGGCGAGATGAAAGGATTGGAGTCTTTTGTTTTTAAGTTGCATATCAACTAATCAAACATTATGTAGTCTGTTGACTTATATGTATATTACATATGAAATCTTAGTAAGATAAAAAGTAGAATTTCAATTCAAGAGATTGAGGTTCAGACACAGATTCTCTCTATTTGCTTTGTGCTTTTATAACACCTCTCTTTGTTAAGTTTTCTGTGTGTTTATATATGAACTGTAGTTAACAGGCCGGGCCTCATTTTAGGGCTAATAAAAGCCTTCCATCTTATAATCTGGAAACTGTAGTTAACGGGCCGGGCCTTAAAAGAAAACACTCACTTCCAATGAAATATGTAGAAATATGTAAAACCCTAAATACATAAAATCACTCTATCCCTTCAGTTTTGTGTGTAATAAATAATCTAATCTTTACGACGGCGACGACGGAGGTTGTTAGCTATGTCGGATGTCGTAGGTGAGGTTGCGAGTGTTGAAGGAGATGAAAAGCCTGCGTTGGCGACGACGAAGCAGTTCTGTGTGTATGAAGCGACTTCAGAGGAGCTTATAGAACGATCGATGGCTCCTATTAAAAAAGAGTTCCTCTGTCCTCCTCCAAGCCGTTCCCTAAAGCAAAGTGACGCCGCCGACGTTAAGGCGCCTCATCCCAGCTTAGTCCAGGAGAAGAAATCCAAGCGACAGCTCAAAAGGGAACGCCGTGAGGTATTTTTTTAGTGTAAAAATATTATTCATCCAAATATAGTGTTAAAGTCAGAGTATCGCATTAACATGCCATTGTTTTTTTTTTTTTGGACTTGCAGAAATGTGCCGTAAACCTGTGTTCGCAGGTTTTGAGAACAGAAGACGTTAATTCTTGTCAGTATAAAGAGAAATGTCGGTTCAATCATGACATTGAAGCTTTCAAAGCTCAGGTTCTCAACCTTACCATTGAAGCTTTCCTTATTGATTTCCTTTCTTTCTTAATGGTGTAGATAGCTTCGTTGATTTTTGAGTTGACCATATATTTTTTTTGTTGGTGGTTGTAACTGCAGAAACCTGATGATATAGAGGGGCAATGCCCATTTGTGTCCTCTGGGATGAAGTGCCAATATGGTTTATCTTGCAGATTCTTCGGCACCCACAAAGATGTATCTGATGGGGAGCCTAACTCTGAGGTCAACTTTTTTAACAAAGAGACCCAGAGGCTTCTATGGAAAAATAACATGACTTTTGTCAAAGCTGATGCCAAACTTAAATCCCTTGGCCTTTTGGTATGTTGTACCGAATGAATAATACATGCCTTCTTGTGTTTCTTTCACATCTCTTTTACTGCAGTTCATGATTATTTCTTTTTCGGCTTGTCTCATTCAATTTCTAGGGGCATGCCAAGAAAAGCAATGTCGCTGAAGAGAATGACGCAGATAAACCTCATAATGGCTCTCAGGCAACTGATGATGTTGATATTCCTGGACCCTTGGAAACTGAAGAAGTTCGTCCCATGAAAAAGGCAAAATCTGAGGATAACGACTCTTCTAAACTTGGAGATATTACTGATGGTTAGTCTTTGCTTCTTTAGTTTTCATAAATAGCATTTCCCGAATGTCAACTAACGTGTTCTAGATTGTCTCAGATGGTTGCATTGTTTTATGCCATAAAATAATATCATAGCTATGTATTAAAGAAAAAGACTTCGCCTAAGAAGGGTCTGAGACTAGACAACATCCTGATGTTCCATTTAACTCTATTGATACAGGGGTGAATGTTGAAGATGAAACGGAAAAGAATGGGCATTCTACTTCAAAATCCAAAATAGAGGATGAGGATAGCATCAAAGTTGTTGAAACTGATGGTAGCCTGAAATCGCACCCTCGTGAAAAGAAAAAGCTTATTGATTTTAGGGATAAGTTGTACCTTGCACCCCTAACAACTGTGGGCAATCTTCCCTTCAGAAGACTTTGCAAAGTATTGGGAGCAGATGTGACTTGTGGTGAGATGGCTATGTGTACAAATCTTTTGCAGGTAAAGGTTATTTGGACAGACACATGATCATAAAACAGTTGTTGTTTTGTAATTGATGTGAAAATCTGCTACTATAGGGCCAAGCTTCGGAATGGGCTCTGCTTAGAAGGCATTCATCGGAAGATCTGTTTGGTGTTCAGATTTGCGGTTCTTTTCCTGACACGGTGTCTCGTGCGGTTGAGCTCATAGATCGAGAATGCACGGTTGATTTCATAGACATCAACATGGGATGCCCGATAGATATGGTTGTTAACAAAAGTGCTGGTTCAGCTCTTCTCAACAAACCATTACGAATGAAGAACATTGTGGAAGTCTCTTCTTCCATTGTTGAAACACCCATCACTATCAAGGTAACTGCATTCTGAGCTAGGTCGCCTTCCACATGAAGCTTGAATTTACATTTTTTGGATGCAAATGTGTTGGTATGTTAACCACTCTTTACTTCCCCTATCATGTTGGGTACCAGGTACGCACCGCATTTTTTGAGGGTAAGAACCGGATAGATTCAATAATCTCAGATATTGGGAATTGGGGAGCCACTGCAGTGACGATTCATGGGCGGTCAAGACAACAACGTTATAGCAAGTCTGCGGATTGGGACTATATATACAAGTGTACCAAAAACGCTTCTCCTAACCTACAAGTAATAGGAAATGGAGATGTGTACTCTTATTTAGACTGGAACAAACACAAGTCTGACTGTCCTGAGTTGTCTAGCTGTATGATTGCTCGTGGAGCACTGATCAAGGTGTGTGTATGACCTTCTATAGTAAATCATACTATACTATGGTCTCAATTTGGTTTTTTTTTTTAAAAAAATATTGTGCAGCCTTGGATATTTACTGAAATTAAAGAGCAACGGCACTGGGACATTACCTCGGGGGAAAGGCTTAACATCTTAAAGGACTTTGTACGCTTTGGTCTTCAACATTGGGGATCCGACACAAAAGGTAATATAATATGATACACACAGAGTATATCTTTTACTGGATTGCGCTGCTAAAGCTCTTTCTGACCACAGGAGTTGAGACAACGAGGCACTTCTTGCTGGAGTGGCTAAGCTACACGTTTAGGTACATACCTGTAGGTCTGCTGGATGTGATCCCTCAGCAAATCAACTGGCGTCCGCCTTCTTACTTTGGTCGTGATGATCTCGAGACTCTGATGATGTCTGAATCTGCGGGTGACTGGGTGCGTAATTCTACCTTGCTATTCATTTATGACTATATATGTAGGAACTTAAAAGCTTGATTTAATTGTCACAACGTGCAGGTGAGGATATCGGAATTGCTGCTTGGAAAGGTTCCGGAAGGCTTCACGTTTGCCCCCAAACACAAATCCAACGCTTATGACCGAGCTGAAAATGGCTGATTCCAACCACACCTCATATTATGTACGCTCAATCTTCATCCAAAAACTTGTCTGAAAAACTGTGATGAGCGAATATATATTCAATAGTTTTGAGTGTAGACAGCATTCAAGAACAATGTATTTTTGCCTTTTTATTCTAAAACCATAAAATTTCATAATTACAAACTATCCAGCCAAGTATAAAAGGCAAAAAAGAAAACAGCTAAAGCAGAGAAGAGAAGAGAGGTGGTTCTGATTTCTTATAATAATTCAGAGAACATTGAGTTCTCTCTCGGAATTGTTTTCCTCCTCCTCAGTCACTACTGGATACTTTCCAGTAAAGCAGGCGTAACAATAGTTGTGTGACTCGACTGGTCCGTAGACTTCTTTCAGGCGATCTAATGGTAGAAACGCCAGAGAATCACAGTTAATATGCTTCCTGATCTTCTCAACGTTCATTGTACTAGAGATCAACTCTTGGCTCCTCGGGGTGTCCACTCCATAGTAACAGGATGCAATCATTGGCGGCAATGCAATTCTCATGTGAACTTCTTTGGCTCCCGCGTCTCTGAGCATTCGAACTATCTTCAAACTCGTGGTTCCTCGGACAATAGAGTCGTCCACTACTACCACCCTCTTCCCTTCAAGGACTGATCGGACCGGAGACAGCTTTGCCTTCACCGCAAAATCACGGATCTTCTGAGTTGGCTCTATGAATGTGCGTTTAGCGTAGTGCGACCTCAGAAGACCGATCTGAAACGGCACTCCAGCTTTGGCTGCGTATCCAAGAGCAGCAACTGTCCCCGAGTCTGGCACCGCGATGACGACATCACATTCTACAGGTGCCACCGTTGCTAATATCTCACCGTACATGCGTCGGGTTTCATACACAGAGCGTCCAAAGACTATTGAGTTTGGCTGTGAGAAGTAACCATGCTCGAAAACACATTGTTTCGGTTCAGGGTGAGAGACCATGAACATAGAACTAATTTCCCCAACTTCTCCATCCACGACCACAATCTCGCCTGGACACACTTCACGTTCATACCTCGCATCGATAAGGTCCAAAGCGCAAGTCTCTGAGGCGAAAACAACTGCACCGTTGCTTCTTCTTCCCATCACAAGTGGTCTGAATCCGAAGGGGTCACGGACAGCGATAAGCTTGTCTTCAAAGACGAAAACCATCGAGAAAGCACCTCGAAGCTTCTCGCAAGCGTCAATGATCCTCAGAAGGAACGTCTTGGCCTTAGATTTGGCGATCAGGTGAAGCACCAGCTCGGTATCAGAACTTGTGATGAAGATCGAACCCTGCTCCTCAAGCTTCGTCTTCAGTTTCTTATAGTTTACGAAGTTACCATTGTGCGCTACTGCGAAGGATCCAAGTTTGCAGGTAGCGATGAAAGGCTGAACATTCTTGAGCATTGAGGCTCCGGAAGTTGAGTACCTGACGTGCCCTATCGCTATATCGCCAGGAAGGCTGTTTAGTTTCGACTCGTTGAACACGTCCGACACTAATCCGACGCCTGTTATTGATTCTATACCCTTCTGATTAACGGCTACGATTCCTGCTCCTTCCTGGCCACGGTGTTGCAGCGCGTGAAGTGCCAAGTAAGAGAGATGGGAAGCTTCAGGGTCACCGTGGATTCCTACTACTCCACATTCTTCGTGAAGCTTGTCCTCTCCGTCATCTTCGTTGTTGGCCGCTTGTGTTAACGACCAGAGAACAGGGGAAAGTGTGCTTCTTCTGCATGAAACCGATAAACTTAGGGTTTTGGAAACGTGGGGCCTAAGGCAGGGTTTGACAAAGCATGGGAAAAGGCTATTTTGCAAAACTTTCTTAGAGTTTTCGGATAGAGGGAAAGGGAATAAAGACGAGATCTCTACGGTGAAGGCCATGGTTGATGAACTCTGAGCTATAGCCTAGTTTTGAATCAAGAGCTTGTGTTTAAGGAGGCTTTGAGTGAATTTAATGGAATCTATTTATAAATTTGTGTGTGTTGTTGGTTACGTTTAGAATAGGATGTTTTATATCCTTAATGAGTTAAAACATCTTAAAGGATTAGGAATCAAAGCCAGATTCCTTAATATAGTTTGAGAAGGTTTAGGTTTTATTTATTTACTTTTTTTTTATTGTCATTTTTGCTATGCCGAGATAAACCTATTTAATGATTTCAATAAAACTATATTAATAATTTTTAAAAGTTTTTTTATATTTTTTTTTTCAATGATTAATCTAAATTATTAGAATAATGATTGGTCAAAATAAATTATAAGATTAATCTAGAATAGAAGCTAGTATGTGAAACATGGAAGTACTATAGTATTTAATTATTAATTAATGGGAACTTAGGTCCACTAACGAACTTACAAAATTTAGATAGATAACTAGAAAACTAAGTTCACTATATCGTGTATATAATGTCTAATTCAACGTACTCATCCTTCGTATTTGGAATGCTATTATTATACTCATCCTGTGTGTAATTGTTATAGTTAAAAAAAAAAACGGAATTTTTATTCGAGTTACATGACTATAATACATCACTCATTCATTCTTTTTTTTTTTTTTTGAATAATCCAATGTAACCTAGCATCCACCAAGATGGATCCAGACTATCAAAGAGTGTCTGTATCAACCTACGTTATCAGCCGGAATACGCTTCTGTCACCGGATGCTGAGGGAGCCAGATTTTAAATTTTACCCCCAGTAATCAGCGGGATTCGAACCTGGGTCCGTATTGGGACCGAAACTCCCTCAAGACCACTAGACCGTCCTCGCTTGGTTATCACTCATTCATTCAGTTTCACATCCTGTTTATGATCTCCAAAAAGACTGTTGCTATTTAGTTAGTTGTTCTATCTGATAAGTTCTCTTGATCTAAGTTTGTTTATGCTCATCAATCATTGTTTAAGGTTTTATATTACATTTGCTTTTCAGTTGCTTGTAACATAGAACATTTTCATTAAGTGTGCTCCATTGCCAATCATGATCCTAACTTCCAGGCTGCAATTAATAAAATGAATGACACAACTTTCTTTCTATCGATATCAGAGGAGAATGTTGTTTGAAAAACACCTCTATCCATGAGAATTATCCAAAAGAAACAGTACAGTATAGTTTTTTTTGATAAGTTCGTTAAGTATTTTTATATGTGCTATATGAGTTTTTATAAGTTTCATATGATTTCAAAAGCTCTTAAATGAGAATTAATAGTGTATTCCCTCTTATTCCTTTTCATGATTTTAAAGTTGAGATATCTTTTAATTTGCACCATTAAAAATGAGTAACTAACATAAACTTTAAGAGTTTCAACTGGTTAGAGATGTTTTATTTTCAACGTTGTCAAATTCTAATGTCCATGTATTTGTTAAAAGTAGTGATTTTATGTTACAATTATAATTTCAACTTATTAGAATTAAGAACGATTAGCAAATTACAATTCGGAACTTCCACAAGTTCCTACCGGTATTAAAATATATTGACTCTGAAATTCGTTAAAAACCACACAAAAAAAAGGAGCTAGAATGGATGTACGAAAACAAAGAATTGAGTGGAGATTGACAAATGCAGCTTCCACGAATTTTCCTGCCGAGAGTTACTTCTTCGTACGGTAGCGGTATAAGGGACAATATTTAGAGATTGTTCTTTTCGAAATTTACTCATCTAGTTGAGATTCATATCTTTTGGCTTCTTCTCCTCATTTCTTCATTTAATAAACTGGATATACATTTAATACGTGAATGGTTTTCCTTGGGTTATAATCACTGTCTACAAGCTTGGGTTCTTCGTCCAAAAATTCATAGATCCAAGAATCTTGAAGTTAGGACAATAGATCATTTGACTCTTATAATATCTTTTTCTATTTAAGGTCATGTTGGCATCTAATCTACTCTCATTCTGCATATGAAAGATTGATGTTTTTTTAAAAGTTTTTCACACATATTTTTAATATATATATATATATATATATATTTTTTTTTTTTTGTCAATTACTTTTGATTCTTACAAATATATTTTTTGTCACTCATATTTTTACATTTTAATTTATGTTTTAGTTCTAAAAACAAATACACTAGTTATACTCTAAAACATCAATGTTTCAAATACAAAAAAAAAAATCTACAACATCAAGCATTCAAATAAGGAGAGAGTATACTTTAGCTCGATCAGTTTGTGCTTTTTTTAATGAAAATGAGAGGAATCTATCTCAGTATCTCCTTACTGCTTTAGCGTTTGAAGGCATGTCTCACCAAACACAGCTATTAATCACTTCCTAGTAGTGCTAGTCTAATAATATGTACTTAAATTCCCAGTATACTGATCAAAGTCACGGTTTAGTGCCATTTGTGGCTCTTTCAATCAATTGGTTTGTTGTGTACAAGCTAAATCAACATGTTCGAATATTTCATGTGTTCAACTAAATGATTATATGTACATATGTATATATGGTGAGGCAGGATAGATATTATTATTGCTGCTTGTGGATACAATTTATTCCAAAACACAAAATTGGTTTGAACGGAAAAAGATACTAGAGAGAGAGAGAGAGAGAGAGAGAGAGATAAAGTTTGTAGGCCAAAAAAAGGGTATGTGCATTAAGAAGAGTAGTTGCTATCATATTCGACTTGTGGCTCGTAGGAAAAGAAAAAAAAGACAGAGAGAAAGAAGTAAGTGCATTCAATTTTTAATTACTAGACACAAATATGCTTTTTGCTTCACCTAAAGAAGTAATCCACCCAAAATCTGTCTGCGTGCTATTTTTCTCTAGGTTTGATATTTCAACTCTAACAAAATGTTTTATTTCTCTAATACGTAACTTTTTCAATAAGCTCGTGAATATATTTTTAATAATATTGAGTCGTCTAAATGACGATCTTCTATGTTGCGGTTGGATCAATTTATTCGTTGTTTAACGTGGATAATATATTGTCATTTTAATATCTTCAGATGCTATAACTAATTTTTAAAAAAGAACATGATGTAAGCTTTAATTTATACATCACTCGCACACAACTCAAAACGTACTTACATCCGTGAAAAGAAAACAATAAAAAGACTCATACAAAGATTGAACATTTCTTAGTTTTAAAGAACTCGAACGATCAAAATTACCTAGAAAATTTGGCCAATACTCAAACTTGCAATAATCATCTACTACCGGCAAGCCACCACTTATCAGCTCAATGAAAAAAAAAAACATAAATGTTCCATCGAATACTAACCCCACTTAGGGGGAATTAACGAACTAATTAAAACCCGAAATTTACATGATCCGTGTAGAGAATGATATTTTAGGTGGATCTTACGGGTTTTAATTAGTCCATAAAAAAAAACCATTTGGATAACAAATGATTATCCAAAGGGCAAAAAGAAAAGAATCTTAGTCTTGATCATCATGATGTAAACTCTCTCAAACTCTCATTGGATCATGGATGTTAGAGAGAGAAAAACGACTTCTTCACAAGGGATAGTGAGCCCTCCCATGTCGTGGTGGAAACCAAACTCTTCCTCTGCTTGTTGAAGAAGGATCAGAAATTCGGGATGAGACAAGAAGGTGATTGGTACGATGTACCTCGTACGCTTTTCCCCTACGTAAACCGGAAAGTGTCCCTTTGGTACGTCAAGAGGGAGACCTTCCTCGTCGTAGCATTGTTTCTTGCCTAAGCTCGAGCATCTCTTGAGGATTTGCTTTATCATTGCTGTTTGTGTTAGCTTCGAAGATCTCTTTACCGCCATCCTTTAATTTGAATTTTAGTGTTTCACTTCTTGATGAGAGTGATCGGAGACAATTTGGAGGAGAGAAAGAAGAAGTGTTTGATGAGAGATAGGTTGCGAAAAGGGGTTATTTATGGAGAAGGGTGAAGATAGGATATGTTCAAACAATTGCTTTAAAATTTCTTGATTATGCAATCAAATGATTATCAGTAATTTAAAGATTGTTAGTGCCGTCTTGTAAGACTATCTTCGAAAATAATTATACATTATGAACGAAAATTCAGCAGCCAGCTAAATCTATGAGGGAATTATCACATCGAGTATATAAGAAAACAGAAACTACGACTTTATTACAAATAAAAACTAATGTCAGATTTTTTACAAAACAAAAAAAATGTGAATTTAGAGCTGGTTATTTAAAGAATGGCGAGGAGGGTAATTTAGATGTTTTTTTTTTTTTTTTTTTTTTTTAAAAAATTACATGTTTTAAATATTAGTATATATCTATTCCAATAGTTTCACATGCATACTATAGAGAATGATGATTATTATATTGATATTAATATATACATGTATAACTGTGGATATATATATAGATTGTTATTTTTAAGGAGCAGAAGAAAAGCAGGAGGGATATAGAGACGCATGTGACAGTGTGGGATCGAAACCCATTGCGATTTAATTTCATTGTTGGTCCTCCCCAAGACACCATGGTCCCTCCTCTCACCATAATTAGCTATTGTAATAAATAGGGAAAATATCAATGTGGTAACTATACTTCATAATTATGTATGAATTGTATGTAGATGTGTACCATAACTAAGTACTCCCTCCGTTCCATAATATAAGATGTTCTAGAGAAAATTGATGTTTCAAAATATAAGATGTTTTGATATTTTTAAGGTACTTTAACTTTATAGAGAACCGGTTGAGCAATAGTATTTTAGTTTATTATTTATGATTGGTTAATTTATTTTAAATTTATACTATCAATGATGTTATCTTTTAAAAAGTTAAGTTTCTTAATTTTTGTGCTTTGGATTAAACATCTTATATTGTGGAACGGAGGGAGTACATATTATATGTACTTCATTAATCTATTTGGTTAAGCATGCAGAGTTGAAAGCATGCATTTGATTTATTACCTCTAATCCATTATATATTATCTGCGAAGCGATTTGGCACATTTTTTTCTACAATTATTTTACAAAAAAATGATGATATGATTAATAAGATTGATGACATGATTTATAGCTAAATATGATATGAACAATTACATTTATTGCTTATATATATTTTTGGTAATTATAGAGTATGACAATAAATGATATATTATATTTAATATTAATTTATATTTTTGGTAAACTTCTTAAAATATAGTAATAACACATAAATCAAATCATCACTAAAAATAAATATATTGAAATATGTATTATAAATTTTAAATCGTTATTTAATTTTACTTTTATAATTATATAATTTTTATTACTAAAATTTTCAAAATTTTCTACATCCTTTTAAAAAATTAATAAAATTGTAATTATAATATCATTAGTTTCTTTTGAATATCGATAAATTTTATAATTTTGTCTAGATTATAATAACTTCTGTTGGGCATCTTCAAAATACGATCCTCGGCAATTAGATTCTAAGTAATCACAAACTAGCAACCAAACTCTAACTAAAGTATAGAAACATGTAGGCAAAGAGAGATTTAATCCATTGTCTACACAACCAAATTAAGCGGTGTCACCACCGGACTAGAATCAAGATATATTTAAACATTATATGTTTGATGTAACTACGTCTTTTAAACTCAGAATAGGCTAACTAATCGTGTTTCAAAAAATAAGGCTAATCACGCGATTTAAAACAAATTGCTAGATTTACAATTGTCATGTGATGAACTCCAAAAAACGAATACTGTAACCAATAGAAACCAATGCAATTGTTTACCAGCAAACAAAACTATTTAATCACGACCATTTGATGATAAAAATATCTGTATGAGATAACATATTGTAACAAATGCATGAAAATCCAGGGAAAATGAGTAAGATTCGCCTTTGACTCTTGTCTGCAAGTGAGCGTATTTGTTTACAATATATTTGACAATGTTGGATAGTTATATGCTCAAAGACAATGGGCATTTAATAGATCTTTGTATCTGGTCGTAAAAGGTTAGGGACAAAGAACATGTAAAGTCTTACGATCTCGAGCTTCCCATCTTTGTGTAACTTGTGATGTTCCTCTTCCTAATCCACGGCGTCGGCCATTAAGCAAATTATAGATTATATTATGAGGTCAATGATGATGTAGATAAACATAAAGTTAAATTAATTTACTATTTCTTATTACAAAAACATTTTAACTTTTGCAAAAAGTTTATATAAACATTTTAATAGTTTTTTGGTCATTTAGTGCAATTGCCTTGTGTGTTACTCTGTTCTGTTTAAGCAAAAGATGTTCTGAAACCCTAAAAACAGATAGCAACGCTTGTTACTTGTAAAACACGTAATTTTGCAAAAGTTAAACTTTGATCTAGAGTTGATTATTGTGAGTTAAATCCTAAATCTATCACATCAACAAACAAGTGAATAAGAATAATATGGAATCATGTTTTCTCTCTTATCAGCCACAAAAGGAGAGAGAGAGAGAGATTGGGGTCGTTGTCAGAGAGAGAGAGAGAGAGGCTAGCCAGCATGTTCTGCGAACGAGATTTGTTTGGAAAAAAAATTGGAGTGAAAGAGGGAGAAATTTACGGATCTTTGAAGGGACAATTTCTCCTTACGGACTGAAAAAGACGCGTCCTTCTTTCGTCTAATCGACCAAGCACATGAAAGCCACCCCCTCCTCCCCATGTTACTCTTGCTTCCTCCTCCTTCCCTACCTATAACTGTCCTCTTTTGTACAACTTTCCATTTTTACTGTGTAACGTACCTTTCTTTTATTTATAATTGAATTTGTCTGCTCACTTTTGGAAATTTCTTGAATCTATATTTTCTACTTCCATGGCCAGAAATCAGGAAACCCTTGAAACATTTTTTTTTGGGGGGGGGGGGGGGGGGGGTAAAAGAACACATGTTAGTACAACTCTGTCTTCCAAACCTAAAAACAGAGAAGCCCCCTCTTTGTCCGAAGGAAGCACATTATATTAAGACGCTCTCCATCTCTGATTTTATCATATCCAGAAGTTTATTTATTATCATTTTCATTTAGTTTAAAAGTTTTAGAATAAAATCTTTAGTGCATGTTTACTCAAAAATTCAATTATAAAAAAAAAACTCACAAGTTCTATGTATATTTTTTGAATCTAGTTTCTACATTATATTCACGTGAAAGAGAAACCATGAGCTCTGTTTCTAAGTCAAGAAAAATATAGGTGGCAAGATCTGACGTCAAATGTAGTTATGTAGGGTCTTTTCATCACATGGATGATGGATAGGCTGCAGCAATCTTGGACCCAGATGAGACAAGAAGTTATGAGTTCAGATTGGCTAATTTTTCTTGTACGATGATTAGTCAGTAGTTGAACTTCAATTGGAAAAAAACACAGAGTGGAACGTAGAGAAAAGGATCGAGATGCAAAAGATAGGACTAAGCTTCTTTTTTTTTGAGGTAGAGTTTTGAGGTTCTATTCCTACTTAATTTGTCATCTGAAGCTTAACTGTGTCTCGAATTAAAATCAAATAATGAAATACATAACATCAAAAAATCCCCTCTTTTCCCCGTTGACCTGGTAACTGCAGCGGACTAACGGGCGGTTTACCTCATTTCCACGTCTCTAGTGGCAACTACGGGGGGTCTGTGTCGGAAGAAAAATAAGGGTTACTATCTAACAAAAGAGAGAAAAAGAAGAATCAGAATCTAAATAATGGAAACAAATTATTCAAGATGCAACTACCCCCACCAGAATCAACTTATTAAGTAATACTCAGAGCGGATTATTGCAGATTAATTAGTAGTACGACTAATCAAACGTTAAGAAAAAAACGGATTAATGCGTTTTATTTACAGGCTTGGGCCGCTATTTAAAGTAAGTTTGGGCCTATAGTTTCGAGTGTGTATTATTAATTGTGGTGTTCACACATGACATGGCTTTGGATTCAAGATACTAAACCAAGAACTAAGGAATGAATGAATGGTGTCTGAGAAGTTAGCGTTTAATGATGTCCTCCTACATGGTAACTTCATTGGGGCTATTTGTCTCAGGGACATCACATGCCAAATCTCTCTATAAATTATGTAGGGACTTAAAGATGTGAACCTAAAGAACCATAAGTCTCTATCACTGATTAAATAGTAACTTCTTCTCAGTGATATTTAAAAGAGAGGACCACGTGACTTGATCATATAGAGACAAAGTCACAAAAAGCCTTCAAAATTTTCTGTGGCAGGAATTGGAAATTTGACTAGTTATAATGTTTATCCAACTAACAAGTGGTCATGTTGATTTCTGTCTTCACATCAGAAATCATGAAGTTGATCACTAGCGGTCCCTTACATATCAAGCCGTGGTCCGGCAAAGCCATGTGCTTGTTGGTGTTTGATTTATGAGCTGAAACTTCTTTATCCCAAAAAAAATAAAAGGTGATCTTCAAACAATGCCCTTATCTATATATACTGGACTCATCATTAGAAGCTCTTCAAGTTCTCACATTCAGCAGTAAAGAATTTAAACTTCCAATTCAATAAACACACAAAGACAATCCATGGCGATCAGGGTTCCTCGCATGCTACAATCATCAAAGCAGATTCTCCGTCAAGCAAAACTGTTGTCATCTTCTTCCTCTAGCTCTCTTGATGTTCCAAAAGGCTACTTAGCCGTTTACGTAGGAGAAAGGAAGATGAAGAGATTTGTAGTTCCCATAACTTACTTGAACGAACCTTCATTTCAAGATTTACTAAGAAGAGCAGAGGAAGAATATGGATTTGATCATCCAATGGGTGGCCTCACAATTCCTTGCAGTGAAGAAGCCTTTATCAATCTTGCTTCTCTCCTCATGAACTGATCGATCAAGACTCACTCAAATAACTTTTTTCATTGATTTGTACATTTTTTTTTTTTAATTCCGAGTTAGTTTTCTTCAAGAGATGAGATGACATCTCTCCTTGAAAGTGAAACTGAGACATTGTAACACTCTTTTTGCTCACTTAAAAAAAAGTGAGTTGACTCAAATCCCATGCACGATTCATCAACTACTCATCATTCTTGAGAATGGCCTCCGCTACAGTTATGAACCATACTGATCAGTTTGAAAGATGATCTTTGAGGTTCGTTATTTGCTTTTCTTCTCAATCTGTGTCAAAGGAACTAACCAACGGGAAAGACATCAAACTTCCCGCCTCAATAGTCAAGACTACTATACTACAAGACAGTTTCGTTACCAGACACGTAAAAAAGTTTAGATCAGAGGTAAGTAAAATCTGAACCGTAGAGATTCATTTTTCTTTCTCTTTTGAAAAAATAAAAGAAGAGAAACTTATACTACTCCAGAAGGAAGCCGGAGAACAAGCTGCCCTCCGAAAACACTGCACAAAGACAAAAATAAAATGGTTGAATCTTTATAAATTTGTATATATAATTACAAATAAAAGAGCTTAAAGAGTGGAAGTGAAAGCCTCTAAACGGTGGTACACCTTTTGACGTAGTAGTAGTGGAAGAATGAAAGTTTGAACAATCTCTGCGATGAGAACCATTGATGGCCACAATCCATAATTCCATATCCCAATGCCACGAGCAATCTCCCTCTCGTGTCTATTTTATTTTATTAAATAACTCATACATTTTAATATTATATAAGACTGAAAATCTGTAACATCTTATATTTTGGTAAATTTTTTATTAAATCATTTGAAAAAATGAAATAATGATAATAGAAAAAGAAAAATTTATTGATATGACAATATAATTTCTTTTTCGTTTTTTAATAACTTATGAAAATTATTTCTGTTTATTTTAGATGTAATTAATTTTATAATAAGTTTTAAAATATTTTTGAAGGTTCAAAAAGTAAAAATGACATAGTAAATAATATTTTTAATTTCCATATATATATATATATATATATATATATATTCAAATTTGATTGTTAAATAATACTAAGCAAGAAAAATAATATTCAAATTAAATGAAATATATTATTTACATAAACTTAGAATTAATATTATATACAAATTATGGATAGTATTATTTACCAAAAATATAGGAAAAATTATGTTGTTTAGTTTAAACAAATAATATAGCTATTATAATTAAATATCAATGACATACCAATGTAAATAACTTAAAAAGCAAAGACAGAATCCTGGTAGGGATTCTGCTTTAATAGTATAGATTGTAAATGACCCAAATTTTTTTAGTAAGTTGAAAATTATGTGAAACTGAACTATTTTTTGTGTGTTACATAATAAATATTGTTTTTCATAAAAGATCATATTAAATAGATTACTTAATATATTCCATATGTTACTAAAATACATATGACATATGACATAAGTGTATAGTTATATATGCAACTTGACATATTAATATAATTACCAAAATATATTAAATTTAAATACAAATATGATTACAAGAAAAATATAAATATAAAAATTAAATTTCTAACAAAAATAAAAATATATCCGTTCGGACGGGTCAAAATCTAGTCTAAAATATATTATCTGACTATTCTTTAATCAAAATCAGTAAATAAATCTGGCGCATTTAGAGGGGGGGGGGGAGAGTTGGTGCATCCACTACTTTGTTTTGTCCAATAGGGAAACATATCAATAGATTTTATGAAGATGAAATATTTTTCTTATTTCTTTCTTTTTATGCATATCTTACCTACAATTTTGCAGATTGTCATATGATGATGAAACTCTATAAAATTTAATGTAATATGGAGGTTAATCCTTCCCATCGTATAAATATTGGAGGGGCCTTAGTTTATAATCATGCAAGGCGAGATAATGTGGACGCTAATCTTTGCACTCGTGAGTTTAACCGCCGCCACGGTTACAGCGAATAATAGTGATTCTTCTAACTACTACGGGCAGACCAAGGCGGCTGATCTGAAGGAGGAGAAAGTGACACATCTCCGCTTCTACCTCCATGATATCATCAGTGGCAAAAACCCGAGCGCCGTGAGAATCGCACATGCAAATCTCACAGGAGGCAGCGCAGATTCGGCGGTGGGATTCGGAAGCCTGTTCGCGATGGACGATCCGCTGACGGTGGGCCCAGGGAAAGATTCAAAGGTGATCGGAAACGGGCGTGGAATGTACGTATCGGGGAGCAAAGACATAAGTAAGTTCACGATCGTGATGTACGCTGATTTGGCGTTCACGACGGGGAAGTTCAATGGAAGCTCGATAAGCGTGTTCTCGAGGAATCCGGTGGCGGAAGAGGCGGGAGAGAGAGAGGTAGGGATTGTGGGAGGACGTGGCGCCTTCAGAATGGCCAGAGGATTCATCCAAATCAAAACGCATCACATCGACATGAACACTGGCGATGCTGTTCTCCGTTACCATGCTACTGTTTTCCATTATTAAACCCCCCCCCCCCCCCCCTTATAATTTGTTTCAAACCATCATTTTTAAGAACAACTCTACAATTATATTTCTATATGATAATTCGATTCCAAAATTATCTACTGCCTCCCGATGATGTGCTTGTTTTGTTTAAAGTTTAATCTAAAAGCCTAAAACTCATTAGTTAATTGATCTTCCCAAGTCTCTCCGGTCCACACGTTGTCGTTTACTCAGTTTAATGGATATGTAGAGTAAAAAAAAGGCCTAACTTGGAAGATTTTACATCAACAGAGTGCATTAGAATTTCGTAGGACTGGATAAATAGACAGAAGTAAAAAAACTAAACCAAATTTGATCTAATAAAATGAATCTAAACCGATCCAAACAGATATAAGTATCAACCTAGAACTTGATCCGCACCCTCATGCATGTGTTTAATTTAACTTGGGTTAACATAGACTCATAAACCGTTAGTTTTTTATATGTTTTGTAATTTACATATAGGATAGAATATACTATTTTATAATATAAATGTTTAATAATTATTATTTTATTTGTACATAATATTATATTAGAAATTTATAACTTGATGCAAATTAATTTGTTGTTTTTGTTAATTTATTTTAAGATAAAACAACATACTAAAAATTAATTTTTGCATTAATTTTCTATGAATTATCATTAATTTTATGATATTTTATTTTCTTAAAATTTGAACTCTCGAAATTTTATATTTGAATAAGTTAAATAAGGCAATACTTTATTTTAAATTACTTTATATAATATATATTATATATTTTAATTTTTGTTTTTATTTTCACCACAAAGAAAAAAAACCATTGTAATTAATTAATTTAAATTGATTTTAAGGTAATGACAAAATCTATAAATAAAAATAAATACAAAATGAAAGTACTTAATTTATTATAAATGCAATGGCTAAATGTGTAAATAAAAGGAAATATTTAATCTATTATCAATGTTTCTAAACAATTTTTATTTATTATGCTTTCCTTATTTCAAAACAATACCAAAATATATTTTAGTTTTAATAATATAGATGAATCTTGTTTTACAATATTTCAGATTATGAGTTTTACCTTAACCGAATCTAAACGTAAATGTATATCCTAAAAATTCCTAAACTTCAAAATTCTAAAAAAAAATTTGCACCATACCCAATTTCAATTTATAATATATATCCTAAATACACTAAATTATTATGAGTATCTACAATAATTATTTATTGCATGAATAATTAACTCAAATATTTTATCTGATATATATATATATATATATATATATATATATATATTGGTTAAAATTAATATCTTATGTTTGATATTTGTCAAGGTGATACACATGATCTTTTGGTTAACCTAGATTATGGTACTGCGACATAAAAGTACAATACAGTTGGATAAATTTTCCTTATTTTAATACAGTTAAATATTTTTAGGATATACCAAATATAAATTAGTGTTTTAAAATAAAATAAAAAAACCGATTAAAATTCAAAGTCATATTGGGTTTGACCGGTTCTTATGCATGTTACTAAATTCGAATTGAATCAGATTAAAGCCCAAACCAAACATTTAAAATATCCAAATAGAATTGATTTTCGTAAATCTAAAAATCGTAAACCCGATAGAGAATTATATTGAGTTTGGCATGTGGAAAGGCCCACAGAGATGGTAGTCCCACGTGAAAACCGGTTTGGAGTAGCATCATATCGGTTTCGGTTGGATTCGATTCGGCTCTCCACTATTAGTATGTATCACTTAATTCCGGGGAGCCGCTTCTTTTCATAATGAAAGTAAAGTAGTTTGGCTTTTAGTTGATTCATCGGAACAGAGACGATGGCTCGAATCATCCTCCTGTTTGTGATCATCTTCTTGGTTTCTCTTTCAGGTTTGATTGATTGATTGATTCTCTTTTCTTTACTTGTGTGTATTATTCCTTAATCAACAAACAAAAAGAAGTCTTGATTTTCTTCTTGTTGCAGAAGTGGAGCCTATAACGTTCAAGATCAGCAATCGTTGCCGGAACACCATCTGGCCGGGCTTTCTCTCCGGCGCCACCTCACCCCCTCTCCCAACTACTGGCTTTCGCCTCTCTCGTGGCAAATCCAAAACCGTCACAATCCCGCCGTCCTGGTCGGGTCGTCTGTGGGCTCGAACACTGTGCTCCCAAGATCCCGCCTCCGGTTCTTTCGCCTGCTTGACCGCTGACTGCGGCTCCGGCAAGGTCGAGTGTTCCGGCTCCGGAGCTAAACCTCCTGCGACGCTCGCCGAGTTCACCCTCAACGGCACCGGTGGACTAGACTTCTACGACGTCAGCCTCGTCGACGGCTACAACCTCCCGATGCTTATCTTGCCCAAGAAAATCGTGGTCGGAGGATGCGGAGCCACCGGGTGTCTCGTCGACTTGAACGCCGCCTGTCCCACAGACCTCAAGCTTCTGACACGTGGCTCAAGGGGCGGCGGCGTGGCATGCCGCAGCGCCTGCGAGGCCTTCAGTGACCCACGCTACTGCTGCAGCGATGCTTACGCTACGCCCGACACGTGTCAGCCTTCTGTGTACTCGCTCTTCTTTAAGCACGCCTGTCCACGCGCCTACAGCTACGCCTATGACGACAAGACGAGCACATACACTTGCTCCACCGGAGCAGACTACGCCATCATCTTCTGTCCGCCGCCCTACACAAGGTGAGATGATGCTTCTTACTCAACTTTAGCTTAAGCTAATAATAATAAGTGTTATTCAGTATGATTGGATGTGTATCAAATGAATACTCAAGGATGTAATGTAGCACACTGATTGGTTGATTTGAGGAGCTCCGTATGTATGTAGTAATATAGATGAAGTCATTTTTGATTATGTGTGTTGTGTGTTTTCTGCAGCGAGAAGCTGTTAGGATCAAGGAAAGACGGGGCCACACTTCCGCTAGTAAACAAGAGCATGATACATTTGCAGTAGCTCTCATTCATTCTTCTTTCTTTCAAGGCAGATAGCTAAAGAAAAAACATTTTAAATGTATAGAAAACGTCACTACGTTTAATGTAATACCACTACGGCACTACCACGACGGTAGACAAATTGTAAATCTACCACTAATACTCTTCTTTTTTCAGAAATATGCTCTACTATAACAAAATGTCTTTAGGTTATGTACTCTTCCGTAAAAATGGGCTCAGTAGCATTGTGACCAGAGAAAGTAATTTATTACTGGACAGCTGACAACGAGATCTTGGATATCTCGCTAGGAAAAGTTGATTGTTGGCAGATCCCAGCGAGCAGCTCCAAAAAAATAACCAACCAAAACTACAAAATGCTGAACTTGTACACAAGGGATTCAAAAAAAATAAAATAAAATAAAAGCTATGGGGTCATTCTAATTTGCAAAATATTTTTTTAAAAACAGTATGTATCGGAACAAAGTCAAACTTCAACTTCAAGAGTCGGATCTCATTGATATTCAGCAGTCTTGGACTTAAATTCTTCCAACAAATCCTCAATACTCTTCACCGAGTGGGCTGCATTGTCTCTTATCCGAACACTCACCTAAGCATATCACATCAGTCCAAAAAAACATAATTAGACAAAGCTTGAGAGACCCTATGTAAGGACTATGCCAATCACTAACCTGTCCTGCAGAAGCTTCAATTTCACCAACTACAAGTATGTAGTTGTACTGAGCAAGCTGAGCTTCTCGCACCTACACACAATCATCACTCTCAAGTTAATACTAGAAAATCAGCTAAGCCAACCAAAAAAACTAGAACATGAACATTAGAACTGTTACCTTTTTATCTATCTTTCTGTCAGTTACGTCTGCATCAACATAGTACCCAGCTTCATGGATTTGTTTTTTCACCTGTTTGAATGTGTTAGATTGAAAAGAAAAGGCAAAGAACCAAATGTACTTAATAAAAGTGCAGCCATCACGTATGTAAACCTGTAATGCATATTCCTCTGATTTCTTTGATATAGGGCACACTATGGCCTGGCGCGGACTAAGCCAAAAGGGCCACTTTCCTTTGTAATGCTCCAACAATATCGCAAACATACGCTCCACTGATCCCAACACAGCTCTATGTATCATCACAGGCCTCGGCTTCTCCTTCTTTCCTTCGTCCTCATCTGAGTACTCTAGTTTGAAGCGATCAGGAAGTTGAAAATCAAGCTGGTAGTGAGCCAAAGAAAAAACATATAATCAGCTCCTGTCTCTGACATTTCATAAAAAAGGAAAACTAAACAGTGTCTGGGAGCCATAAACCTGTAATGTAGCACACTGGAATTTCCTATTCATTGCATCAGAAACTGTGATGTCTATCTTTGGGCCATAAAATGCACCATCTCCTTCGTTCAACTGCCAAAATAAAAACAGAATTAATATCAATGCGGATTAGTGAATAAACTTGAGTATCCATGCTGTGATTTTGGGTGTGGGGAGAGATTATAGGTTTCGGTCTCGAAACTCCTGATATTCGATAAAAAAAAAAGAATAAACTTGAGTATCCATTTATGGGTAAGTGCCAATACCAGCCATTTCTTTCCAAAAGCATCTAGGGCAACTTTGAGATCATTTTCAGCTTTATCCCATGTTTTTAAATCTCCAAGGTATTTTTCTGGCCTCTGTAAGTTATGAAATAATCAGCCATGAGAACATATCAAGCAAAGTCTAAAAAATTTGGTAGATATGATACCGTTGAAAGCTTTAGCTCATATGTAAAGCCAAAAATTTGATAAGCATAGTGGATGAACTCCAACACAGCCTTCACTTCATCCAAAACCTGGAAACATATATAACATTAGCAAACAAAAAAAAATAGGAGGAAAAGGAGGTCCAACATTGCCAGAGAGACTGAGTATATTCAAAACCTGATCCTCTGTACAGAATATGTGTGCATCATCCTGAAATAAGTATGCCATCATCATATTAAACACCATGAAACTATGAAAATGATTATTATCTTTTTTAAAAAGAAAAGTACGAAAATATACTTGCTGGAACCGTCGGGCACGTGTCAACCCACTAAGTGCTCCACTGTCCTCATTGCGGTGTAACACTCCAAAGTCGGCCAGTCTAATAGGTAGTTCTACGGATCACATAAGCAGTTAAAAAGCTGGTGTCAGCAAAGATAAATGATGATCTTGACAAATTTTCTTTAGTAAGATTTATAAAACAGTCTTAATGCATGGCAGTGAACTTTTTTATTTCTAGAACTTAAACTGCAATAGAGGAGGAACAGAGGCGCACCTCTGTATGAGCGCACCCTGTGTTGGAACATCAAGCAGTGACCAGGGCAGTTCATAGGTTTGAGCCCGAACTCTTGTTCGTCAATCTGCACAATTAAGGAATATTCGAGTATAACTAAGGCCAAACAGTACTGGATTCAAGAGAGAAGCTTGCTAGAGTAAACAGTGTCAAGGAGGGGAATCTCATATACACTTACATCAAACGTAAACATATGATCCTTGTACTTTGCATCATGTCCAGAAGTTTTCCACAGTTTCACGTTGTACATATTTGGCGTTATAACCTGCCCAGTGGACGGTTAGTTTAGCGCTTACACACTTTATCAACGAGATGAAAATATGAGATGAGAGCTTAAAAGAACCTCTGTGTAACCCCTTTTCCAGTATTGCTCTTTAATGAATCCCATCAACTTGTTATATATACGAGTGCCTAATGGAAGGAAGAACCAACTCCCAGGACTGAATGAAGATCAAGGATGATGAGTATATATATATATATATATCAGTATAGTAATTAAAACGCGAAGAGCTAGGGGAAGCACACTATTGTTAGTGATAAGGTCAATGCTTCCAAAGAAACAAAGAAGATCATTAAGTACAGAATTAGCAGTGAACGAACCTGAGTGAATGACAAAAGAAGAGTTCCTGCTTTTGGCCCAATAGTCTGTGGTCGTACTTTTTGGCTTCTTCAAGAAATTGAAGATATTTCTGCAACAACCAAGACAAAAAGATGATAGATATATTATATGCATATTCCGAAATCATAATTATTTTAATTAAGTATTGATGAGTTACTTTTAGCTGTTTCTGATCAGGATAAGATATCCCATAAACTCTCTGCAAGCTCTTACGGTCTTCGTCTTTGCTAGCCCTCCAGTAAGCTGATGAGGCCTGAGAAATATATTAAGGGTTGTTAACACAAGAAACACAAAACTAGAATCTGCAAATTAAGATGCAACTCTTAGACATATATCGAAGTAACTCACCCTTAAACACTTGAATGCTTTCACAAAACAAGTGTTTGGTATGTGTGGTCCACGACACAGATCAACGAGAGGACCACATCTATAGACAGTAATTGTATTATCCGCAGACAAACTATTGATGATTTCAACCTAGATGATATACAAATTCAAATAGGATAAAATATGAATGCGCGGGGTTAGGGGAGCATATATAGCAAACTCAATGATAGTACGTAGCTTTAACGCACCTTATATTCATTTTCAGAAAACATCTCCAGTGCCTGATCCTTCGTCACTTCAATCCTTTCAAATGGTTGCCCTTCCTGTGATGTAAAAAGCAAAATAATCAAACAATTGAATGAATATATGACTAAAACTTGCGTGACATTCGTACATCATAATAATTCGGTGTTACAACAATATATATATATATATAAATTAAAACTTAGTCTGGAAACAATACCTTAACAGCCTTTCCAGCACCTGCTTCGATGTTAGGGAAGTGATTGTCGTTAAGCCCCAAGCCATCATCATAATATGCATCATAGTAGAAACCCTGCAATTAAAATCCACAACAACTAATTAAGCCACCATTGCATAGCATGATTAAAGTGAAATAACTAGAACCATTCTTGTTCTACTCTTATAGAACAAAGAAACATAAAAAGAGATAAACGGGTCTTCACACAAACAACAAACACTTAGTTATACTGAAATGGAGTAACAAGCTGCTCTTACCTCCCCTCTCGTCGTACATGGTCCTATACAAAGCTTACACCCATACTCCTGCTCAAGAGCCTGCACACAAGATCCCACGTATACCCAAAAAGTATAACAAACATTCACCACCAGGTAAGCTTAAACCAAACCAAACCAAACCAAACCAAACTAAACTAAACTAAACTAAACTAAACTAAACTAAACTAAACTAAACACTCTTTTACCTGACCAAGAACGTGAGCACTAGAATGCCACAAAGTATCCCGACCTTTATCACTGTCAAACATGAACAGCTCAAGCTTACAATCACTTTCAAGTGGCCTACTCATGTCCCAGAGCTCATCATTCACCGCTGAGATCAACGCAGAGTTCGCCAAACTCTTTGAAATCTGCCCCGCGATATCCATTGGAGTGGTCTCCCACTTCTTCCCTTCTTTCACACTCCCATCTGGCAACGTGATCCTAAAATACACACAAATATCACTTAGATTAACGAAACAAAAACGATGAATATAGAGCATGCAGATCGTAGTTACTTGATCGGATCGTGTGGCAGAGACTTGAGCTTCTCCAGCTGATTGGCTTGGATCTGCTCGAAGAGACTAATACGCTTAGGGATAACGGCAGAAAGATAAGCCTCATCCTTTGAGTTGTTAGGTGCCATGTGTGGAAAAGGAAGAGGCTAAGTCTTAATGATCTCGATATGAACTCAAACAAACTTAATAAGAATAACTCTCTTAAGGAAAATCATTCAAAACCTTAAGCTCTCTCAAAACTCATAACTTATGCCACACATTGGCATTTTCTTATATATAGGAATAGATAATTCATATTAACTTAACATATTTAGTTATTTCCTAATTTCTTTAGAAAACCATAACTCGGTAAGATTAGGAAACTTGCCACTTAAGTTATCATCAAGCTTATGTCAACAGTGGCTAATAAGGGGTGTAGACAGACATGCAACCAGAGCGGATGGTCGATAGTTAGGGTTTATAAACTTCTTTTTCCTTTTTTTTTGAACAACCGTTAGGGTTTATAAACTATATATTCAGTTGTTCCTCCAATTAAACTTCTTTTTCTTTTTCCATTTTTGAACAACCATTAGGGTTTATAATTGGCTAGTTTCTTTTTTTTGTCGGCCAGTTTCATTTGTGCCCATACATGGTGATTGATTAAGATAAAGCCCAAACGTTTATATGAAAACCCATCTGAACTCAATCGATAAAAGTAGGTATGGGCATTCGTATTGGGTTTCAGGTTTTCATGTTTTCGGATTTTTGGATATACGTTCTTAGGTCCCATGCTAAAATTTTATTAGCACGGATAGACTTCGGATAATAAGTTCCGCTCAAAATTGTATTGTGTTCTAAAACCCATAAAATAACCATATATCGTACATGATCATGTTATATCGGTTCGGTTCAGATATAACTGAAATAAAAAACAATTTTTTTGGAACAAACCATAAAAAAAAAATCTACATTAAATAAAAATTAAGTTATCACACATAAAATTGATAAATAACAATAAAATGTTAGATCAAACATGGAAACAAGCATCATTATAAATAATATGTATTGTTTTATAGTGAGTAGACTTTTAATCTCAGTGAGCAAATTATAAAATATTTCTGTATAACTAATGGTGCACCAAAGCATTTATTAAAATTTTAATATTTATTATTATATATCATATTACCACAAATATTGAATTTAATAATTGAAATACTTATATATATTTCAAAAATATTTATATTGACTATTAATTTTGGATTTTTTCGGGTTACCCATTCAGGTTCAGTTAATAACACTACGGATTAGATATTTTTTATACCACCTTACAAGACTCATTCGGGTATTTTTACATTTCAGATCAAATAACGGGTCGGGTTTTTGGTTCAGCTTCCGTTTGGATTTCGAGTTTTAGATATTATGCCCAGCGTAGATAAAAGATAAGGCTCTAATTGAGGATTACATCTTAAGAAAAAATTAACTTTTAATCTGCACATCCGCACAAATGTTTATTCTTCATAATTATATGTTATAACTTTTGAAAATTTTGATAAATTTAAATGTTTGTACTTTTATATTATAGATTCATACATTGTTTAAGTTTGAATTTAATGCGTCTTGTTTAGTGTGATTAATTTTCATTTATAAACTATGAGATTGTGTTTTTATTTCATTGTGCTTTTATTTAGTTTATTGGTAACATAAACAGTAAAGTGTAAAATATTAGAGTTTTAAATATAGTTGTGGGTTTATTAAATTATATTATAAATATTTTGATTTAAAGTGGATATAAAGAAAAAAAAATTATTGAGATTTTTTTAATACATCATTTAGATAAAGAAAAAAGAAAGAAAGCAAGTTACAAAAAAAATTCAAAAACAAGAACAGATTTAAAAAATAATATTTAGAAAACCTATTTTAAGTAATTAAAATGGGCTATTTTGTTATGCTTTAAAAGTTGGTACATTATAATTTACAATTACATAGTAGATATAAACTATAATGGATATTTTCTAATGATCTAGGCTCATATATTGTTCTTTTTACGGAAAAAAAAGTTAGGAAATAAGATAGCTAGTTGGCAAATCGAAAGAATATGTTAGAAAAGGCGGGTAAAATATTTGGTTAGTTATGATTTTGAGTAAGGGTGTATATTTCGGTTTAATAACAAGTTGTGTTCGTTTTGGTTTATTTTGGATCTAAAAAAAAATTAACCAACTTTAACCCAAATTAATTAGGTTTTAAATTTGTTCGGTTTAGTCTGTATTACTTTGGTTTGTGTTTGGTTTGGTTCTAGTATGGTTTGTGTTCGGTCGTCCGGTTTAATTTGGTTTTATCAGTTAATTGATTGATTTTTAAGTTTTTTTTCTAATTCAGATACAAAATATAATTTACAAAAATATAGATAAATTATAATTTGACATTAAATTATTATTTTCTACACAATTAAACAAGAATAAAACATCACAAAAATGTGAGGGCTACTCCGTAGGAAGGTCATTCCAAAATGCTCTTAATTTTGATTGTGCCTTTTCAGAAGACTTGTACAATTTTGTAATTCAGTCAAGTGGTCCAGAGTCATGGTAAATTCTAGCCACCAAGCATGTATCAGAATGCATCTGAGTTAGTAATCTAATATATTAAAAGAGAAGTCATAACTCTTTTAATGTGTGATATTTTAAAATGAATCATCTACTAGAATTTATCTATTTACATTAATTAATCATTGATTAATAACATTAAAATTAGTTACCTATAATTTTGGACTCAACAAAAATTTTAGTGGACGAACAATAATTGGATAATCCATTAGATTTATAGATAGTATAATAAGACACATGTTTAAATTAAATATATATAATTTAGTTTTCTAATAGTATATCTTCATAAGTTAATTATTTATATTTTGTCGATGTTAACTTTTAAAATTATATAGTTTATTTTTTTAAATAATAAAAATCATCATTTTCTAACAATTATTAATCTATACTATCTTAAACCAATGAAAACATTTAAGTTTTATAGTTTATTTAAAAATAAGAAAAACTAAATTTTTAATTATTTACACCATAATATGGAGCTAAAATTTTTTTTTTAACTTTCTAAATTTGAGAAATATGAAAATATCTTTAAAAATGACAGTAAAACAATATTTTACCAATCTTTACATATATTTACGACTTCAATAATGTAGTAATAATAATAATCCAAAACAATATATATAGAAGAAGATACAAATACATGTGAAGATTTGAAACAATCTATTCGATGAAAAATTAATATATGATAAAATTATTATCTTTTAAAATGGATATACATATCTCATATATAAAGTGAAAAAAATTGTTTTAAAAAAGATTGAAAATAAAATGTTTCTATAAAAATAAATGAAAACAAACATGAAACACGCGGTTGCACGGGTCGAGATCTAGTTATGTCTTGTTTCTTTATGTATTTGGTTTTCTCATTGAATATTTTTTTTGAAAATTGATGTCTCTTTCTCTGGCTGCAGCACCACTCTCATCAACCTCAAGTGCGGCAGGGGCTTCGGAGACTGCAGATAATTAATGATCTTCCTAGCGTCATGACTTGCGCCAACTACCTTAGGCTCTGCAAAGAAGATGTACAAATCGTGATGGAAGAGAGAAGACGAAGATGCTCCTTTTTGTTTTGTTTTGTTTTGTTTAGCTTGGTTTACTAATTTGGTTTTGATATACAATACGGGACCGGACCGGTTATTAAGAAGAACCGAGGGCGTATAAAGCATCTGTGGGTCGTTCTCTCTGCCTAGGGTTTAATTGAATGATGGAGGGGGAGTTGGTGGATGCAGAGATAGTGGTTCCGACGCATCTGAGTTTTAAGAAGACACAGGCCTATGAAAAGTACCCAAAGGGACAGTCTCGAGGAAGGTGGAAACATCTCAAACAGATCCTCCAAGCTGACCTCAATGATCCCTCCTCTTGTAAACTAAATTCTCTCCCTCCACTCTATCTATCTATCTACGATTGGGATCTACCAAAATTAGTAAATTAATCAATCAATCAATCTTCTTTTCTTTTGGTTTTGGCAGATATCAGCATCGAGTCGCCTCCATCCACTCAACCATGCAAGAGAATTTGCGATGTCACTGGATTTGAGGTTATATACTAATTCATGTCTCTTGACAATTTTTGGAATTCCCTTTTTTATTCTCACACTTCTCTTGGGTTTAATTAATTTTGGGTGACAGGCGCCATATGTAGACCCCAGAACAAACCTACGCTATGCAAACGCTCAGGTTTTCAAGACTCTAAGATCACTCTCCCCTCACCAAGTCCACCACTATCTCTCCATTCGCAACGCCGCTCCTCTTCTCAAGTAGCCCCCCTCTCCTTCCTGTTTTTCCTATCTTTTCATGCCTTGTATGGTGGTCGATATATTTTTTTGATGTATGCAAGTTTGATTTCACTCAAAGTTGTTGATGATATTTTGTGTGTCAGCTTAAACATGCTATTAGTCGTACAACAGCAAAACAAGTCTTTCAATTCTTTCTACATCAACAACCTTAATCTTTATGCACAAGGGGGTTTATACAATAACTTACAAAATCAACTGAATACCAGCACTCAACCAACAAAGCATACAAAACTATTCCTGTTTTTCCTTCTTGCCTCTCCTTATTATGGTGGTAGATTTTTTTGTATGTGATTTCAAACACAGTTAATGATATTTTGTGTGTCAGCTTAAACATGCTTACACACCTCGTACAACAACAAAAAGAATACTACAATGACGTAACCTTATGCAGCAGAGGGTTTATATAATTAACTTACAAAACCAATTTGAATACCAGCACGCAAACGCAACCAACCAAACACACACAAACTCTTCAAATTGCTATACCTATGTTTTTCAATGATGTGTTGTTGCACTTCTCCTCAGTGCTGCAAAGATACCCCCTCCTCCTGTTGATGCTCTTTTTTTCTTCTCCTCCTCTTGTTCTCCTACCTACCACACACACACACAAACAAACATTTAATTCAACTACTTTTACTTTCATAACCACCTGATATTTCCTTCTCTTACTTACTTCCTTGGCTATCTCTTCTAGCTGCTCTTTGATCTCTGCGAAGTCTGGTCTCAGCGTTGGATCCTTCTCCCACAATCTCTCCATTAGCTCTCTCATTTTCGGATGCGTCTTCTTCGGTATTTTTGGCCTTAATCCCTGTTTTCCCACCACACACACCACAACCCCTTTTAGCTGTACACCCATTGCAATGCTTTCTAGACAAAACAAACAAAGGCAATTTACCTTTTGGACCACCCCTACCGCTGCCTGCAATGGCGTCATGTATTCATATGGAAGCTGCCATCACATAAAAGTTAGTTATACTGTCACCTTCCTTTTTAGGACTTTTACTTTTCTTTAAGACAAAAAGACGCCCAAGTACCTTGCCAGTCAACAACTCCCACAGCACAATCCCGTAGCTGAAAACGTCTGCCTTGTGATCATATGCCTTGTGTTCTATCACCTGAATTCCCACCAAATTTTATTGTCTCAGAACCAACCACACAAGATACTAGTCAATAGTCATCTCACAATAGCTAACCGATTTTGGAATATCCTAATCATCGGAGAGAGACATTGGCTGACCAAATTTTCATATGCTAATAATGACATACTAAACTATAAAAAAGGTGTATATAAGGACATCTGACAACCATACCTCCGGAGCCATCCAGCGATATGTTCCAGTTTCAGCTGTCATAACTCCAGTTTGTGCTTTTACTCTAGCCACCCCAAAATCTGCAACCTTAACAACCTGTAGCAGCAACAGACAAAGAAAACCACTATGAATCCGCAACTGTGCAGGTAATTGACACTCAAAAGAACATGATGACAAGCATCCTGTTGAACCCATGCTCTAAGATATAGCATCTGCGATGCAAGCTCGGCATAAATGCCAATTCACACTAAGTTGAGAGTATTACCTCTTTTTCGTCCATTAGAAGGTTGGCAGCCTTCAAATCTCTGTGAATTATGTTATTTTGGTGTAAGTAGTTCATCCCTTTGCAAATATCTATAGCTACTTTAAACAAAGCTGGAAGCTTAAACACGCCCTTTTGCTTGTGTAGATAGTCATATACACTTCCACCGGGCATGAATTCTATTAAATAGCAAAAGAGAGAAATGAGAGGAACAGAAAAAAAAGAAGCCTAGAAAATGATTATATCAAGTATGATAATGTACATAAATAGGGTCACTATAACACACCTGTAACAATACAAAGATGTGGAGGCTTGGTGCAAGCACCAATGAACTGAACAACGTTTTTGTGCCTAACTTTCCTGAAAATGGAAAGATTTTAAATGATATCTTACGAGTCTGAGATGATATTGTTTTATCTGCACATAAGTTCACAGAGTGCCCAAGATAGGAAGGTGCACAAACCTCATAATAAAGACTTCTTGGGAAAATTCTTTCTCTAGCTCAGAATCTAGACGCTCTGGCTTGAGGATTTTAACAGCAACTTCCTGGCTATAGTATGTACCTTTATACCTGCATAACACAAGGGAGATTTGAGCATCTTGAAATGAAAAATGTAATTAATAGGTAGAGCCAACTTACAGATCTCCATAAGAACCAGATGCTATCTTATGCCCGAATTTTAATTGTTTAAGGTTGATTTCCCAAACATCAGTTCCATCAGTGGGTATTGCGACATGATCTTTCGCTGTCCCGTTCCCCTTTTCAGGAGAGAAGGATTGCTGCATAGGCCAGCTTTGATCCTGCAACTGAATGTAATGAAATTCATTAATAACACACAGCAAGACATGACACTATTGTGAGATGTTGTCACAATGAAAAAGGTGTACAGAGCACCAACTCTATTTCATTCGGAATGAAGTGATTGGAAAGAAAGCGTAGTGCAATGAAAAACAAGTACCTCAATCTTTGCTGCTTCTGTCTCCAATGCTTTTCGAAGTCTGTCTACTTCCTGAATAATTAAAAAGGTAGCATACCAGCTTATTGACTAGGAAGCTTTCTTCGTATAAGTAAAAAAAAGAGCCAAAGGAATCGACAAGTAAAAGGGTTTATTTAAAATGAAAGAACATGGCAAGAAACTTGCAATGGCGAAGGAAAAAAAAGGAGAGGGAAAAGAAACAAAAGGTACACCTCGTAGGGCCAACCATCAACGACAAAAACATCAAGTGAGAAGCCATCAGTTGTAGAAAAAACATGGGCCTCTTGAATGTTGAGGCCAAGCTCAGCAAGCAATGCAGTAAACTGCAGCATTTACGTTGACTTATCTCAAATCAGAATGATCATAGGACTCGATATATTTCAAAGTAAGTCAGATAGATATATCTATTACTGTAATTGCAGAAGACGAATATTATAATAGATGACATGATACCTGGAAAAGGAGTTTAGGTTTGTCTAATGTGGAAAAGGTGATCTCATGCAAGGGGCTGCAAGAGAAAATCAATATTAGAATGCCAGAAGGAAAGGAAAGACATTTGATGTTATAAGAAAGAACATACCGGGAATGGTTACGGACAGAGTTGTCACACTCAGCAAGCGCAAGTGCTTCAAGATTGGGAGAAGAACCAAAGGCAGGGGGAGGATGAATGCTGGAACGTGGAAAAGGCAGAGGTTTTAGTTGCTTAGTTACTTGTTTAAAGAGAATGAATGAATGAATAAAGAAATGGTGAGGTCACCTTTTTCTGGTAGGAGACGTAGAGTCCAAGGTAGAGGAGCTGGCTGGAGGTTGAACCTTAAGAAAAGAGATGAGAGAGTCAGGAAAACATATATAATCCTCCTGGTGAGGCAAAAGAAGGAAGGAAGAGAAAAGAGACCTGGACGAGACGGACTTGGAAAGCAGGCCTGTTCTGTGGATCAATAGCTGAAAGAAGCAATCTCTGGTGCATCACAACGTCTTCAGCCCTCTCCACATTCACATCCAATGCATACCTTTCAAAAAAATAAAAAACAGACAGAAACAATCTCATAATCTGTTTTTGTCTTGGCTAAAGCTATAAGAGGCAGAAAACTCTTAAAAAAAAAAGAGAGAGAGAGAGTTACCGGGCCGGGAGGCGATTAAAGTGAGCCCAGAGATCGTCGGCGAAACCGGGAAGATCCGTTTCAATAATATCAGATTTACGGAGACGAAGGATGACCTCGTCGAACACCTCTAGTTTCATGCGCTCGCGACGGTCCATGGCTCCCTGCGACATGGTTAATATGTCGCTGATTACTCTACTATCCTTCTCCTCCTCCATCACCATTGAGCAAAGGAAAACACCTTTAAGGATTTATTTTATAAGATGGAATACAGAGAATCCCCTTTTGATTGGCCAGGAAGATTATGATAGAGATTTGCAAATATTTAAATTCAAAGGCAGAAAGATAGAGAGAGAGAGTCCGATGATAATCGATGAGTAAGTATTGTGGAGGCAGGTTAGGTCTAACGAGAGCTTTTCACGTTTTTATCTTCTCTTTGTAAACCGACGCCACATATGTATGACTCATGCCGCCGTGGCCATACTAATCCCTTCAATTTTATAATTTAACAGGGGCGACTTCTTCTCTATTTTTCTATTTCCCCATTTAAAATCGTGATTAGCGAGTTACTCTTAAATAATTAAAGAGAAGTTCTAACAATTAAAAAAAAAAAAACCTGAAACCAATAACACATTCCCTCCATTTGTCCCGGCCCTACTGATTACGGCCTGTCCCACACTTTGTTATTATTTATTATCCCAAGATATTCCCAACTTAAGTAAAGACCTTGACTAATAAAAACTAGGATAAGACCCGCGCCTTGCGCGGGATGAAGCTATTATTTTTATTATGTTTTGAAAAATGAAACAATAGTTCGGTTTCATTCGGATTAGAGGTGTTCAATTCGGATATCGGGTTTCGGTTCGGTTCGGCTCGATTTTTTGGTATTTCCATTATTAAAATATATCTACTATTCTAAATCTATATGTACTTCAGTTTGATTTGGTTTATATACCATCGGTTTTCAGTTTATTCAATTTTATACCAAAAACATGATTATTTAGTTTGAGATCATATTATATATTATACAAATATATAATATGATCATATTTAGAGTCATATTGTCACAGAGTCATTCATTAAAATAATATTATATATTTAAATAAAAGAATAAAAAACAAAAAAGGCTTCTATCATCTAATAAAATGATCAAATCTAGAATTAATATCAAAACACTAAATTTTGAAAATAAAAATAAAAAACAAAACAGAAGCATGAAAGAAAAGTTTTTATATTCTTCTATATTTAGTGTTCATCAAACCAATATGCCTTCGATTGAACACAACTCTGTTTTTTTAAGATAAAAAAAGTTGTAAAGAATTTCAACTAATTGTTGTCCATCAAATTTATAATCTTTACTTCAATTTAGTTACTGTTAAAAAAGCGAAAGATCAAAGTAAGAAGTCTAAATTGTAATAAATTGTTAGCTATTTACAAATTATAATTATAGTTCAACTCATGTAACAAATAGATATTCATGCGTCGTTATAAATATATACATATTTACATGTTTCAGTTTAATCGGTTATAAATCAAACCATATCCAAATCCAATGGTTTTTATAAAATCACATCCATTTGGTTTGTACGGTATATACCAAAAATAACCATATTATCGATTGTTAATATCTTTTAAAAAATATAAAATTAAAAAAAGAACTAAGATATTTAAATCATTCATAACAAAAATTTTCAATGTGAAAAATTTAATAATTTTATAGTTTATAAATGTTCTTGAAAATTTATTGAGGATTTTGAAATTAAAATATTTATGTAATCTTATATGGTATATAGTTTAATCTGTATATATATTTGTTTTATTATTGAATGATACGTTTTACTTATATGGTTTTAAAATCATGTATATCTTTTTATAATAAAAATGTTAAACTATTAATTTTTAGCATAATAATTTTAATAATTGAGTTATTCATTCTCGTTTTTTAAAATTCAAAATATAACCTATACGAAAAAATCTAAAGTTTAATTTTATAACTAATTTGATTGTTTAATTTATTTTAATAATATAAAATTAAAGAAAAATAATGGAGGATATATAAATTGCTATCAAATATTTATTATTAGAATCATTAAGTGTCATATATATATATATATATTAGTCATTTATGGTAATTCCGTAGGTTTTATTTATGGAAAGAAAATAAAATAGTAATTATATCTAAGGGAACAATCATAAATGCTTCTATCATAAATAGCATATCATCATATCATATAATTTGACCAACGGATGTATCTAGTGACATATATAAATTGATTGTGGACCTACTTATTTTTCAATTGAATGTAATTGACTACCTAATTGAGTGACACCTAAGCATGGGGTCTTTTTTAATTATTACAAAATTGAGGTTACAATTTTTTAAATGTTTCTCCTTTAATATATAAGGGATGTCTACGGTCTCTTATATTATTAAATGCATTCCATTAGATAATTTGGAGCAACATACTCTAAAACTTTACTTAAAGACGCATATTGTGTTGACCCATGACAAAAAATATACATGCATATTGTAAAATAAATGGAGACACATGCAACACTGTACATTCAAGAGCATTTTTTTATACGATTACACACCCACTAGTTTAAAAAAAATAGGCCATGTTGATGATAAATAGGGAAGGAGTTGACCAGAAGGTAATAAGATGCGGCAGCCGGAAAAGGAATAAACCGCTTTGACGTGGCAGAGCATGCCTGTATTTTCATCCAACGTGGTCTGCTGCCTCTTTACGCTCACCAAAGGTCGCGTCTTTTAACCAGCGAAGCCGCGATTTGTCGTCGTTCTAAATATTTTTTTCTTTTGTTTTTTTTTCGCTAACTTCGTCGTTCTAAAGTTACCATCCACCATCTGTTTTTTTTTTTGGTAATCTCTATCTGTTTTTCTTCTTCTCATTGTATATATATATATCATTAACTAATACATCCTGAGTATTGTGTCTTATCGACTAACTGATGGTATATGTTATGGTTGGTTGCGTGCGAAGTTCATTATACACGAGTATCATATTGAGCAAAAAAAATATTGCACACATTTCAAAAAAATAATATAATGCATTACATGTGTTTATTTATTCTATTCGTTGATCAACTAAGTAAAAGATATACTCCTTAAAGATTCAACCACTAAACACAATGTCAAATCAGTTATAAAATATTATCATCAAATAATTCGAATATTTAAACACCCTTTTGAATTAGCCCTCATGCTTTGGTTTACACAAAATATATAGTTCGTATTACAGTATTACACGATCCATTTATTGTATATCTGATTCACTGTGTCAAGAAAAGTTAGTATTACTATTAGTTGATGACACTTTACGTACAAAAACTAAGAAATCGAACAAAGGTTGTGATCATCCGCAGGAAAAAGTTTGGTGATTTTTGTTTGAGAGAAAGTATGCAATGTGAGGATTAGGGTTGGCCATTTTTTTTTTCAGATACCCAGATCCATATCCATATCGAACTTGAAAAAATCATAACTACAAAATTTAAACCAAAATATCTTGAGTTAAAAAATATTAAATATCCGAACCAGATCATGCAATATTCGAAGACAAATACATATTCAAAGATAATCAAATATATGTATATTTAACCCTGTATTCTTAATTTATTTCTCTAATTTATTCAAAATATTTATTGATACTGCACATAATTTAATATCATATACATATAATTGTAGAAAAAGTGATTTGTTGTTCATTAAAAATGCATGTTTTTCATGCATTAACAAAAATTACATTCAAATTTTTTAAACAATAATCATATTAATATATTTATATTTTCATAGTTTTATTTTCAAAAACTTATTAACTGTCTAACCTACTAAAATTAAAAAATCAGTTTATGGTAAAATTTTAAATATAAAAGGCTTAAGTAATGGAGAATTTGATTTTTTTTTTCAACATTCAAATATCTGAATCCGACCCGAAATATACGAATTTGAACTGAAAATATCCAAATCCAATATGATATGTAAAAAACATATTCTATACTCCAATCTGAAATATCCTACCAAAATCCATCCATGGATGATGTACCTACAAAGGCCATATGATATGATGACAGTGGATAAGATGGCCACCAATGAAAAGTGGAAAGAGTTTTAAAGAAAGAAGATAAGACTTTTGGCTAAGGCCTTAACTGAGAGGCTATACTAATGGTACAATTTGATAAGAGTAACAGTTGGCAATGGCGTGTAAACATAAGAAGACACTTTCCTTTGTTAGACATCAACAAGTTATTCAAACAAAATATAATCCACCAACTCATTCATACTACTAAAGACAAAATACAATATTCTTAGGTGGCTAAGTAACTAATAATAATGTTACAAGCCCAAAATGTGAAGAAAACGGGTCCATGAATAATAATCAGAGATGAAGAAGGAAGTGTCGGTGAGCAGCATAGTCAACGAAACTGTAAAAAGGAGCAACTGAAGTGTCTCCATACTTGTCAAACACTTGCAGCTCCTTCTTCGCCTTGACACTAAGCTCTTGTGCCATTTCCATAGCCCTCTCTGTTCCGGCGTAGCTCTTCTTCTTCTTGTTTTTATCGTCTCTGAGGTCATCCACCACCTGATAGAGCATCCCAACAGCCCTGCCGTACAACCTGAGGCTATGAAGCTCATCATCAGAGGCACCCCCCACGAGACCTCCACAGACGGCTGAGCACTCAGCCATGGCTCCGAATTTCTTCTCGTGAGCAAAGGAAATAGGGAAGGGGCCGCCTTCGAGGTCAACGTACTGCCCTGCAGCCATACCGGTGGAGCCAACGGTGCGGGCAATCTCGGAGATGAGGCGGAGGAGGGTGGATCGGGGGACAAGGTGAGGAGGGGTGAGAGAGACAATGTGCTGGAAGCCGAGTGGGAAGAGAGCATCACCAGCGAGAATGGCCATGTCAGAGCCGAAGACAGTGTGGTTAGAAGGTTTTCCCCTGCGGACAGGATCATCGTCCATACAGGGGAGGTCATCGTGAATCAGCGAAGCCGCGTGGACCTGATAAAAATGGAATGGAATGTAATGGAATCAAAAGATCAAATCAAATATTGTTCTGCTAACCAAAAATATCAAATCAAATATTGTTCGAGAGAGAGAGAGAACCATTTCAAGGGCACATGCGGTGGGGAAAGCGGCGAGTCGATCGCCACCGAAGAGTTCGCAGGCGGCCACACACATTACAGGAGGGGCACGCTTGGCGCCTTCAGCGAGGACTGAGTATCTCATCGCCTCATAGATCCCCGCTGGATACTTGACTGGTATCGCTTCCTCCAGCTTCTGGTTGATCTCCCTTATTAGCTTTGTCCAGTACTTCCTCAGATCGAAGTTCGATGATGATGATGATGATGATGATCTCATTGCTGCGCCGGATGGTTTCATCCTCATACGAACTGGTTTCTCCGGAACAACAAAGGAATAGCTGGGTGTCGCTGAAGCGCTTAACATGTCGCCGGATCTCTCTCTCTCTCTCTCTCTCTCTCTCTCTCTCTCTCTCTCTCTATCGTCTCCGTCGCCCAGAAAGAGAGCACTTTAGAATTGATTTTTTTTAATGGGCCGAATCCGAAGATGGGCTTACATAAAAACAATGAGCATTAAAAGGCTTAAATTGGGTTTTAGCAACGCTTACCTCACTGCATTCCTTTCTCTTGTATAACTCCGACAAAAGAATATTGGAGAGGGAAACACATGAAGATAATATCCACATGCCGTGGACGTGTCAGAGTTGTGTTTCTCACATGGATGTTTCTTGGTTACCAATCTATTGAATATTGGAAGGTTTTCACTGTTTTTTTTTTGGGTCAGATTACCTTCATTTGAACAAACAAATTGCACCAGTAGGGAAACTGTAATAATAGTTAATGATCTCACATCTAATTCGAGTCACAAAGACTTCTTTCTTTTTAGTTCATGTCACATTTGCTTCTTTTTTTTTTTTCTTCAAACTCCAACAAAAAAGAAAGAATTTTATTATGATACAACGTGTGCGAAGCAAAGGGGAAAGTGATAAAATGTAAAAAAAAGAAAGAGAGAAAGTGAAGTTTGGGTTTGGAATGTTTGCATACATCTAACACTACTTTGGAATTTGTACCTATCTTTTAGTTTTGGTTGTTGTCTCCTTTTCGCTTTCTCTGACCCTAAATTGACTACATAGTTGTTTAGTAGTATATTGGTTAGATTTTCTGAGATTGCTAGCTTTGAAGATATTACCTAAAGAGAAAGAGAGGATACAGAATAATAAGAAATCAGAAAATGGTAACCAATTAGCGAGGTGAAAAGTGGGTATACCGACATGTACAAGAGAGAGATAGTGGGCACAGCTGTGATGCAAAGTGTAGGAGCAAATGTGCAATGGCACGTCCTCCAACCCATATTCACACTAAAGGAAATGGTTCTTTGTTCGTTTGATAATCAATAATAATACTAATAAATATGATGAGTGACCTGAAAAAGAAAAGAAGAAGAAGAAGGAAGATATGTTTTCGACAAAACTTGAAGAAGATGTGAATGTCAAAGAATCAGATTATGAATTCCACAAAACGCGTATATACTTGAGTAAAGTTGTTGAGGATAGTAGACACGCCACGTCAGGGGATGCCACCTGCTTCTTGTCCATTCTAACATACGACTTGTCAGTGATGATGAGCTGGCAACCATTCCCTTCTTCTTCTTCTTCGTTATATATATTGACACTCGACCCCCCTCTTCTCTCTTCTCATCGCATCCCTTAAATAGATTTTTATTACAGAAACGTAAAAGCAGAGGAAATAAAATATGGGAGGCTGCTGCTGCTTTCTTTTCTTCGTTGTTGTGCTCTTCGTCTCCTCTGTTGACGCCTGCGACCGATGTCCTCACCGCTCTAAGGCTGCTTTTTTCTCCTCCGCATCTGCCTTATCATGTATCCCTCTCTCTTCTTACTCTTCCTCTGTTTTTTTTTTCTCATCCGTTGCCTTTGCCTTGCATTCCAGCCGGAGCTTGTTCTTATGGTTCAATGGCTACCGCTTTCTTCGCCGGTCACATTGCCGCCGCCGTACCTTCCATCTACAAAGACGGCGCTGGCTGCGGTGCTTGCTTTCAGGTCAGATGCAACAACCCCAGTCTTTGCAGCACCAAAGGAACCACGGTGATGGTCACCGACCTCAACATGAGCAACCAGACCGATCTCGTTCTCAGCAGCAGAGCCTTCAGGGCCATGGCCAAACCGGTTGTCGGCGCTGACAGAGATCTTCTCAAACAAGGCATCGTCGACATTGAATACCATAGGTTCATCATCATCATCATACAATATAATTAAAAAAAAAAAACACTTTTTTACGTTCCTTATTTTTTTACCCCCATTAATAAGTAAGTAAATACAGTAAATAGTAAATAACCAAAGAAAACTGAAAACAGAGTTCCTTGCGATTACGGAAACAAGAAGATGTTGAATGTGAGAGTTGAAGAATCAAGCAAAAAGCCATACTACTTGGCTATAAAGCTCTTGTACCAAGGAGGCCAAACCGAAGTCGTAGGCATCGACATTGCTCAGGTTGGTTCCTCCAACTGGGGTTACATGACCCGAAGCCACGGTGCCGTTTGGGTCACTGACAAAGTACCCAACGGACCTCTTCAGTTCAGGTTCCTGGTGACTGCTGGCTACGACGGCGAAATGATCTTGTCTCAGAAGGTTCTTCCTGCCAACTGGGAAGCCGGCAAGACCTACGACGCCGGCGTTCAGATCACCGACATCGCTCAGGAAGGTTGTGATCCATGCGACGATCACATCTGGAACTGACTTACTTCTTTTCTTAGAAGCATTCCTAATATCATACTGTATGTATAAATAATCTAAAGCATATTTCATTATTAACTGAGATTCTTCTACCAGAACTATTACTAAACAAGAGAACTAAGAAAAAAAAAATATCTTTAAAGAGGATGATGGATATATGTACACATGACCACCATTATTAACTTGTGATTGCTCCAAATCGCTTCTAGTGGCCATGGGGACATTTGCCAATGTCCAAGTACTCCCATGGCCATGAGTCATGAATGCTCGTCCCCTTTTTTGGAGATTTGGAAACATAGCTCCCTTGACCACAAGTTTGCTTTTCCCGTCTGATTGGCAAGCTGCATACACTTAAAGGAAGCTTACAAATATAATAAAAAAGGGGTAGAACAACTTGCAATTACTTGGTTTGGAATAAACTAACATGTCATCGCTTTGTTAGAAAGACAAAGCGTGAACATGAAGGTTTATTCTATATAAAAAATCATGCATGCCTCTTTTACGTTAATGTATCTTCAAATCTGTACACAAATATATTCAAATATTTAACGGCTTCTAGGTGGTGGTGATCTGCAAAACCCCTAGGCGTAGGCGTTGAGGAGGAACAAAATGAGAGGGATCTACCAACAACACCAAGTCGGTTGCTTATGATAATCTTCTTTTGAATGTTTGGTTAATCTTTTGTGATCCATCTACGCCCCCTTACTTCAAACCCACTATAAGCTTGATCACTACTGCTCTCTCCCCCGCTTTCCCCACTCGTGTACCCTGACTTTCGCTTGCTTCTTGTAACTCCACTGTCACTAAAACTCCCATTCAACAGGGGGTCATCGATCCCGCGAATCACTCGCCGACTAGATGATGACGACATGCAACTGTCATCTTTTACTTTTCTCTTGTCCTTGTCGTGTTTCTTTATGTTCTGCGAGATCTTGTGCAGTTTCTCATTGAACTTTGTGATGCTCTTCTCCATAGGCTCTACTGCTTGAGTCACCGTGAACCTCACGTCTTTCACAATCTACAAACATATATATAGCCTCTTTTGTGATCAGAAAGCTCTTCATCAGAATAAAGAATCATTTTACAAGGAAGAATACTCACGTATTCACCTCCACCAACAAACACATCTCGCATGCTTTCTTTGATGGTCATACCACTTCTGATATCAACGTCAGGATGTGGCAGGCGGACCTTTGTTCGTCTCTCACTGTCTCTAATCTCATCAGGATCAATAGGACAGTCCACCGATGCATAGTCCCCGAGAACTGATACAGATCCAGTAAAGCGATCTCCCAGTAGACCGTACGGTTTTGCTGGGAATACATACAGGTGAACAACAGAAGCAATACCCATCTGCATTGAACCAACACAAGTGTTAAAGCAACTTTTGGTCCATTTTTATTTTTATAAGCTCTTTGGTATGAGGAGGACATATGTATGTTACCTCAATGCAAATGATGAAATCTTGAACACTAGTCTTCAACTGCAAGCTCTGGGCAATGGAACTTTTGAACAAACCGAGGGAAGAGAGAAGAGCAATGGCAACACCTTGCCACCAAGTCAAAAACACGATTGACTTGAAGGTTAGAAACTTGGCAAGCGGCTTAATGTGAGCAAGCTCATCTTTTGTGGCACCATAGAACTGAACCAGACAATATAATGCCCATGACTGGCTAAAATTTAGAACAACTGCCAAGTAAGGGTACCTACAAAAATCACCAGGCAAAACACTAAGATGCCATATCATATATAGTTCATCATAGATGAAACAGATTCTTTTTATTTGTTTCTTCATTGTTAAAGCACTGAGGTTGAAAAATTTTTATTTTCTAAAAAAAAAGCCTCAGACGTACCCACAATCCCATTTAAACTCTCCTTCACAGTAGGCACCGAAGGCTTCAAGAATGAGGGCAGTGAGGGCAGTGAGAGACTTTATAATCATCTGCGGAAGGAGAGAAATGGTTTACTTGGAGAGATTTAGGAGGATAGGAAAGATAGAGTGGGGGAACATATACATATTACATACATATTGAACAATACCAAACTTAACAACTTGATAGAACCAGTGACTGAGCCTCCAGGGTTTTAAGAAGAGATTCATAGGAAAAGGATGTTTAATGGTTCCTTTATCATCGTTATTGGGATCTAAGAGGGGAGTCTTAAAGCTCTTGCGGCCTTGTCTCTGCATAAACTCAATGGTCCTATCTTCCCCACCTAAGCAGGCAACAAGGTATCTCCCAAAACAGTACATGGCAAAGGATTCATAGCAGTCACGGAGAATGCCACAATCAACGCTAATAGATGGGTTGACAAGTGATGCAAACTGTCGAATTTTAAGAATAGATATAGCTTAGCAAATCTCATATGATTATCCTATCCGTATTATTATTATTTGTTGACTACTCACAGACTCAATTGAATAGCAAGGGACCATGAGGATGACTCCGATCAAAAACATTTGCTCCTCAGGGTTCTTGTAAGTAGAAAGGTGATCGAAGAGAAGATACATGGAAAGGGAGAGGGTGAGGATGAGAAAAGCACCAGCCATAAAGCTTGCCCAAGCTGGAGCCGAGTATGTTGATAGTTCCATCGATTAACAACTATGATATCATAAGGAGGAGGTGGATGAACTGAATCGAATCTAAAAGAAAAAGAAGCCATTAGAATCGAATTGATCAACAAACCCGATCTCTCTGAGACAAAAGGAGGCAGAGACTCCTTACCTTATGACCGCCGAACCGAGCAGCCGAAAGAGAGGAATTGATCCGAGAGATAAAACTAACTAACTAACTAACACGGGAAAAAGGAGCGATGATACCTTCTTCTTCTTCTTCGTCCATGGTCAAAAAAACAACCCGAAATTGAAAACGGCATGCATTTCTGTCATTGATCACTAAAACGGCCCAAAACAACCTCAGTCCTTTTTAACACGTACTTCTCTTCTTCGGTTGGAAACTTTCCGTTTCTCTTCTCTTTCCCGTATGATGACTTACAAAATGCCCCCTCCCCTCCCTTCATCATGCCATTTTCTCCCTCGTGATTCATTGGTGTGCCTCTCAAATTGTGATGTTTTCGATCCCTCGTGAAACTCTACTCAACACACTCTGCACCAACGTAAATGCCTTAATTTGCAAAGGACTAAAACCACTTTGTGAAAATGCTCTAATTCGTCTGATGATTTTGTTTTCTGTAGGCCATTCTCAGCACAACTGTCATTTGTTCTTGGTTAGGAGGAATTAAGGATGCAGAACAAGCTTATCAGATTTTAATAGACTCAAGACGACATCGTTTCGCAAAAGAAAAAACAAAAACAAACAATAGAGAGAGAGAGAGAGATTTTAGCATCTCATCTCATCTCTATGGCGGCGAGAAGGAGGATTCCTTGTGACTTGAGATTTCTTCTCATACCGGCAGCTTTCATGTTCATCTACATCCAGGTCGTGATCTAAATCCTTCTCCCTTATATTATATATTTTTATTTGGATGGATCTGATCTCATTAATCTGTAATTCTACTAACCGGCGATTGTGTCTTCTTCTTTACACTCTCTATATAGATGAGGCTTTTCGAGACGCAATCACAAGATGTTGATCGCCTCGGTTCACCGGTAAGTAAGTTATTTAGTTTTTGTTTCCAATGCTTTCTTTCAAGCTGCAGTGTTGTGTGATTTGGTTTTTAACCTCTTCTCAGTCAGTCATATGCAAATCCTCATCCATGTGGATTATCATAACAATATACATTTGAACCTTTTTCTATTTAGCCTCTGGCAGCTGTTGTGATCATGGCCTGCAGTCGTGCTGACTATCTTCAACGGACTGTTCAATCTGTTTTTAAGTTAGTTACTAAACTCCTCTTTTATTTCTAACCTTTACTCCAACTCTACTGTCTAAAATTACTTTTTTTTCTTTGTACACAGATATCAAAGTCTCGTTGCTTCAAAATATCCTCTCTTTATATCTCAGGATGGATCTAATCAAGCCGTCAAGACCAAGTCTTTGAGCTTTAATCAACTTACGTATATGCAGGTAATCTCTACTGTGATGTTTCTCCTAATTTCTCATGTAGATAAGTGAAATGATGTCTCTTCCCCCCCCCCCTCCCTTTTTTTAGCACTTAGATTTTGAACCAGTGATCACCGAAAGGCCTGGCGAACTTATTGCTTACTACAAAATTGCACGTAAGGACTGGTTTCTCCTTTCTCTGCGTCCCTCCAGCTGCATGACTCTAATACCCTTTTTTAATCCAGGTCACTACAAGTGGGCATTAGACCAGTTGTTTTACAAACATAAATTTAGCCGAGTGATTATACTAGAAGGTAAGGTCTTTCTAAAATTTCACCCTTACTGTAAATTGCTGTTGTGCGTGTGTCCAGTATTGCCTTAGGGGTTGTCTGTCTCTTTAACAGATGATATGGAAATTGCTCCAGACTTCTTTGATTACTTTGAGGCTGCAGCTAGTCTCATGGATAGGGATGAGTATGTTCCCTACTGAACCTAGACTCTTATGGCATTTAAGTTCCCGCTGAGTATAGAAGTAAATTTTCTTTTTTTTACTATTTGTCCTTCTTATCTGGGTGCAAACATGTATTAGAACCATTATGGCGGCTTCCTCATGGAATGATAATGGGCAGAAGCAGTTTGTGCATGATCCCTGTAAGATTCTTCTTCTTTTTGCTTACCCCGCCTTCTTTCTTTTCCCTTTCTTCCAATACCTCGTTATATTTTTCTCATGCTAAGCTAAAATAATCTGCAGATGCACTTTACCGATCAGATTTTTTTCCTGGCCTTGGGTGGATGCTAAAGAGATCGACCTGGGATGAGCTATCACCAAAATGGCCAAAGGCATATCCTTATATTCGTTTATCAATTTCAATGGCTATCTATGGTTTGATAGCATTTAAGACTTTCCTTAACAATATATATACTTACTGGGATGATTGGCTGAGATTGAAGGAAAACCATAAAGGCCGCCAATTTATTCGACCAGAAGTCTGCCGAACATACAATTTTGGTGAACATGTTGGTACCTGAGACTTATGAGTTTCCATTGTTTTAGTTGCACTTGTCTGATTATTTTGATTTCTGTTGAACCAGCCTGGTATCATATGACTTTGACTTTTCTGTGAGAAATTTATTATAGCAGCTTTGGCCTATAATTTCTTGAGACATAGACGTAGACAGTCAGGACTAGGTTTCTCCTTTATGCATATAACCTCGTCATTTTCATTTTGCAGGGGTCTAGTTTGGGACAGTTTTTCAGTCAGTATCTGGAACCTATAAAGCTAAATGATGTGAAGGTAAGTGTGTTAGTTACTCCTCTTTGTTGCATGACTACTTTATCACAGGTTTTCTATTTTAATTATAAAGGTTGAGTGGAACGCGATGGACCTGGGATACCTGACAGAGGTAGAACCATATCATTTATATCTTTTTTTTAAGTGGACAAATCTTGTATTTTAACTTGTTCTCTCATGTCCACAAAGGGAAACTATACCGAGTACTTTTCTGGCTTAGTGAGACAAGCACAACCAATTCAAGGTTCTGACCTTGTCTTAAAGGCTCAAAATATAAAGGGTGATGTTCGTATCCGGTATAAAGACCAAGCAGAGTTTGAAAGCATAGCAGGGGAGTTTGGCATATTTGAAGAATGGAAGGTAAATTGTTCTTTTTAGACGAATCAGTATAATCTCTTACGAATCGGTCTAGCGTCACTTTTGTGTACCCATCCATTTTCTAGGATGGTGTGCCCCGAACAGCATATAAAGGAATAGTGGTGTTCCGAATCCAGACTACTAGACGTGTATTCCTGGTAGGCTCAGATTCTGTGATGCAGCTTGGAATTCGAAAATCCTAATGCAAACACATGTACTTCTCCAACCCTAAGCATCTTCTTGATCCCTATCCATTTGTTGTAGTTCTATGCTGACAGATTGACACGCAGATGAAAACAAAGGAAGATCATTTGGACCGCAGGCAGCCTTCTTCAAGCAGCTGTTTGCACTTTTGGCTGTATAATTAAAGGATGAGTTTGTAGACAGGGGGTTAAATTTAACAGCTAGAAAGCTGTGGTGACCTGTGTCATAGGTTTTAAAGTTAAGGGAACCCCTTTAAAGGAGCAGAGTTAAAACACATTTCAGTCGTTTTATAACTGATTGTTTTGTGGGTTGTCTTACACGAACGCAAAATCCTTCTATTACACTCTTTCTTCTTCCCACTTCTCTTGGGTTCGCTATTGCTAGTGTGTATTATATCTGCTAACATCTACAGGTACCTGAGACTTATAAGTTTCCATTGTTATAGTTGTACTTGTCTGATTCTTTTGATTTCTGTTGAATCGGCCTGGTCTCATCACATATGATTTTTTTCTGTATTAAAAATATGTATTATAGCAGTTCTGTCCTATCATTTCTCAAGACATTGACGTGGACAGTGAGACTGCGTTCCCCCCCCCCCCCCTTATTCCTATAATATTGTCAATTTTTCTAGTTTGGGACAGTTTTTCAGTCAGTATCTGGAACCAATAAAGCTAAATGATGTGAAGGTAAATGTGTTCTTTACCCCCCTGGAATGCTATGGACCTGGGATACCTGGCAGAGGTAGAACCATATCCTTTGTATCCCTTTCACCTGTTAGTGGACATATCTTGTTTTTAACTTGTTCTCTTTCTCATGTCTACAAAGGGAAACTACACCAAGTACTTTTCTGGCTTAGTGAGACAAGCACGACCAATTCAAGGTTCTGGCCTCGTCTCAAAGGTTCAAAACATCAAGGGTGATGTGCGTATCCAATATAAAGACCAAACAGAGTTTGAGCGCATTGCAGGGGAGTTTGGTATATTTGAAGAATGGAAGGTAAATTTCAGATGATTGAACTATGTAATCTGTAACGATTTGCAGGTCTCAACAGGTCACTTTGTTTGTTTGTACCCATTCATTGTGTAGGACGGTGTGCCCCGAACAGCATATAAAGGAATAGTGGTGTTTGAATTCAGACTATAAGACGTGTGTTCATGGTTGGCCCAGATTCCGTGATGCAACTTGGAGTTCGAAAATCCTGATGCAAAACATGTACTTCTCCAACCACATCCCTATCCATTAGTTAAAAGTTGTTTGGAATAAGGTATCACACGCACAGGAAAGCAAAAGAAGATCATTGCGAGCACTTTTGATTGTATAACTGAAGGATGAAGTTTGACGAGAGGGGGTTAATTTTGACACCTAGAAAGCACTGGTGACCTGTGTCATAGGTTTTAAAGTTATGGGAACTTTTTTAATGGACCAGGCTTAAACACATTGTATAACTGATTGGTATCTGACACGAATGCAAATCGCTCTATGGAAGTCTTTCTTCTTCCCACTTCTCTTGGATTCTATATTGCTGGTGTATATATATGTATATATCTCTTCAACCTTCTACATCTCCTAAATGATCCATGCTACCGCCATATTCTTATTTCACTTGTCCTGGCAAGCACTGGAGTCCACTGCATTTTTAGCATGTTCTAATAAAAGACTATCTTCTTTTTTTTTTCTTATAATAGAGATGTGTTTATGACTATTAATCAAAGATGTCTTCTTTTTTCTTTTGTTATTTTTAGTAAGAGGATGGCGAGCATATTGCAAAACCATGTTCAACAAAGAAAACAATGTTTGATCATCGGATCTGACTCATTTTTTTGGCCTGGTAGTTTGCACATCCAGCTCGTCCTCTGTTTTCATTTTATTCTGTACCAATGCCCTTTTGCTTTGGGAGATTATGGATCTTTTCTGATTTTTCAGATCGTGCTCTGCATTCCTGAGATGACAAACTGATTTTGAAGGGGAAAGGTGAACTAAGGGAGTGGTGGGTTATAATTGTTTTGTTTGGTCAATGCATGCTTCTCCACTTACAAGCTGAACCATTCTTCGTAATACATGTGCGGTTTGTTTCAGAAAGAAGCCACAATGAAGCACAGCGGTGGGAACCAAGCCTGCTTTGTTCTTGGTCAAAAGACCACAAGCATCCGAGATCTCTACTCCTTGGGACACAAACTAGGTCAAGGACAGTTTGGGACCACTTACATGTGCAGAGAGATCTCAACAGGGCGTGAATACGCGTGCAAGTCTATAACAAAACGAAAGTTGATTTCAAAGGAAGATGTGGAAGACGTGCGCAGGGAAATTCAGATCATGCACCATCTGGCTGGTTACAAGAACATTGTCACCATTAAAGGCGCTTACGAGGATCCATTGTATGTTTACATCGTCATGGAGCTCTGCTCAGGTGGGGAACTTTTTGATAGAATCATCCAGAGAGGGCACTACAGCGAGAGAAAAGCTGCTGAGCTGATTAAGATCATTGTTGGTGTTGTTGAGGCTTGCCATTCGCTTGGTGTCATGCATAGAGAGATCTAAAGCCTGAAAATTTCTTGTTGGTGAATAAGGACGATGACTTCTCTCTCAAAGCCATTGATTTTGGGCTTTCCGTGTTCTTCAAACCAGGTGAATTCATCTTTTTCTTTTCAGTCAGCCAAGTCATAGAATTTTCAAACTTTGCTCAATCTGCAACTTTCTTTCAGGTCAAATATTCGAGGATGTGGTTGGAAGTCCTTATTACGTTGCCCCTGAGGTTCTGCTGAAGCACTATGGACCAGAGGCTGATGTGTGGACTGCAGGGGTCATACTGTACATACTGGTGAGCGGAGTCCCTCCCTTCTGGGCAGGTACGCACAGCAAATTGATGATAAGGCTTCCTCCTTCCAAGGTAATAAAGTAATACATTCTTTTTTTTGGCTTTAACACCAGAGACACAGCAAGGGATATTCGATGCAGTGCTCAAGGGACATATTGACTTCGACTCTGACCCTTGGCCCCTAATATCTGACTCTGCAAAACACGGATCATGCTATGTTCCCGGCCCTCTGAGCGTCTCACAGCTCATCAAGTATTGCGTATGTCTCGTACCATTTCATTCTTGTTTCACGTCCTGCACTGCTTTCTTACATCCTTGGATTTGTGAAAACGGAGTTGCGCCAGACAGAGCACTAGATCCTGCGGTGCTATCCCGTCTTAAGCAGTTCTCTGCCATGAATAAACTAAAGCAGATGGCTTTAAGAGTAAGGACCTAGACGCAAGCCTTTTCCCTGTTTTATATGAAGACCTTGTCTTGTGCTGCAATTTCAGGTAATAGCTGAGAGTCTCTCTGAAGAAGAAATAGCTGGACTAAAGGAAATGTTCAAAGCCATGGACACCGATAACAGTGGAGCGATTAGGCGATTACATTTGACGAGCTAAAAGCTGGGTTGCGAAGATATGGTTCTACTCGATTCGTGACCTTATGGAGGCCGTAAGCACTCTGCCCTCATCTGTTCTGTGTATCTACTTAAAACCAGTCTGATAAAACTGTGTGTGTGTGGCTGTAATTCACCAGGCAGATATTGACAAGAGTGGGACTATAGACTATGGTGAATTCATTGCTGCAACAATCCATCTGAACAAATTAGAGCGTGAGGAACATCTTCTCTCAGCCTTCAGCTACTTTGCGGTTACATCACAATCGACGAGCTACAGCAAGCGTGTCCTGAACAGGGGATGAGCGATATCTTTCTAGAGGATGTGATCAAGGAAGTCGACCAAGACAATGTGAGAGACATGCCCTTAGGCAAACATATCATCTGTCTTGGAGATAATATGGTCAAAGGCCAAGGGATCATTTTCTTTCTTCTTCTTTGTTTCAGGATGGAAAGATTGATTACGGTGAGTTTGTACCGATGATGCAGAAGGGCATTGTAGGACGAACAATGAGGAAAAGCATAAACATGAGCCTCATGAACAATGCCATCTCTTAGTGGCTAATATAAGCAGCAGTCTGACGTTTTTCTAGGTAAATTCTTTCCCAAACTGACAGTCTACACACAGGTGTGTGTGAATCCTTTCTTGTTTACGGAACTGAGGCATGAGATGCAAAAGCTACAAAGCTTGGCAGAAATATGGTTTCTATAGTCTGGATCCTTCCCAGTAATTATAGAACCAACAAGGGCTCTGCGTGTACTAATATGTATTAACAGATATACTGAACCAACATCATACATGGAGTCATGAGATTATTGTTATATTGAGACAACCTATAGAGGATTACTGAAGCTTATTATAAATCTGTGAGGGCAGTCTCTTTTCCCATTGTTACCTCCTGCGCAAAGTAAAAAAAAAAGATAATAACAATTAAACACAAGTTGCAAACTGCCAATAAGGAGATTATAGTTACCTTTAGCTTAGAATGGCTGGAGAAGATACAGGTAGATGTGATAGCATGACCTGGTTCAAACAACCATCCTACAGAAAACAATCTCTCGCCATCTTTGCTTTCTTGGAGTGAGCACCACAGGTCTTGAGGAAGCAATAAAAGATCCTTTTCTTCTCGCACAATCTCAATCACCTTCTCACCAGTAACCTGTTGAATGCAACCCTGAACAGAAGAAACCACTTTCGATTTCAGTACTGAATGGATACACATAACTGAACAAACAGGCCAGGGCAGGCCAACTCACGGAATCAGAAGAGGCGAGAAAACTAGTGGAAGCAAGTACAGCTCTCCAAGAACCAGCTACCACTGAAGCTGCTGTGGTAGGTGTAGAAGCAAAACCGGAGCTACGTATGGCACAACCTCCGAGCTGATCGCCATCTCTGAATGGACCATACCACAACTCACGGAAAACTTTGACACTCTGCAACAACATTTTGGCCTCTGCTAACCGAACAACCTGAAAAATCCTGACACGGGACTCCTTGTCGTTTGGATTAACAAGGCAATGCTCGACCTCTAGCTGGTTGTTCCCCAGACGCCACACAGCGACATAGGAGCCAGAGTCAGAATAAGAAAATGATAAGGTGGTGCTTGGGCCAATGCTCCTCTGGTCTATGCTGTAACGGGTGGCAGCATCAGCTTCGCATCCAACGGTGGGGAGGAGTTTGATGGACTTGTAAAGAAAGGTCTGCGCGTGGGGTTGGGCAAGAGTGGGACACTGCGTCTGCCAATCGAACACCTTCACTTCCCATTCTCTATAGGCTTCTGGAACCACTGACTCAGGTAATTCCAGCGGTTGCCCTTCGCAAGAGAAATCTGCTCCGAAACCGTCCCATTCGCCAGACACATTTTGAGCGAACTCCGACCAAGCTAGAAGCGAAAAAAAAACACCCCATCACACACACACACACAGAAGCAAACTCAAAAGATTCTTACCATTGAGAACAGGGGCAGGCTGGCTCTGCCCCAGGGCAATATCAGCTGAACAAGAAAGAGGAGAAACTGTGGTTCTGTAACCAACCACTAAACTGGGAGAGAAGGGAAAGCTGAGAGCTTTGAAGGAAGGCGGAGGTGCGTGTGTACCGTTCCGCCACAAGAGAGAGCTTCCGGAGGACGATAGCATTATTGGAACAGAGTGCAGAATCATTATTGATCTCACAATAGAGAAGAAAGGAAGAAAGGCGAAGTGGACTTAAATGGATATCGTTTTGGGCTCAGACTTGGATCGATATTCTAATACTAATGGGCCCATTTTCGCATTATTAGTACGGCCCATCGACGATAAGTTGAAGAGAAAATGTTTGTGTGATTAACAACATCATGCAATGCATGATAGGTTCAGATCTTTTATTGGTTGATTGATTGTTACAGATGCTCCACTGTTGTTTACAACTCATCTCGTGTACCACTCTTGCGTTCATATGATGCATAAGCTTTGATTATTGAAACATACACGTCAATCCCCTTCAAATACTCAGCTCTACCCAAATACTGCGACAAAACAAAACAAAACAAAACCACATGCGTTAGGAAATTGATAAGTGAGATTCACCAGAAAGAAAACCATAACATAAGATCACACACCTCATTGTGGTCATGAAGCAAACTCGGGGTGTTTGAAATGGGAGAAAACCCAAACGCGGGAACGCCAGCCTTCCGGAAGTAGCGAGCATCTGTTGATGCAGGGAAAATCTCAGGCTTACTAGTTCGACCTCCAGCTTCCTTGACAGCATCTTCCAGGAGCCTCCACCAAGGATTTGAATCATCTGCTGCTGTAAGTAGCGGTTCCTCCGAATGCTTCCGCTTGAACTGCCCCCCCCACACAACACCATATTATTAGTTTAACGTTTGTTTTTTTTTGTTTTATTTAAAAAGAAAAGAGAAAGACAGTCAGGTATTTGTCTATCATTTGCATGGAAAGAGACATACAACATGCACTGTTTTGCTGAAGAGGGAAGTTACCTCAAGGGACATGTTGCGTGCGGCGGGTGCCCATTCCTCCACCAAACGTCTTTCAAGTGCTTGAGAATCAACGTTGGGTGGGATACGAAAGTCGAAACCGGCTTCAGCCTCAGACGGTTGCAGATTCATCACGAAACCCTTGGAGTGAGAGAATAATAAAGAGTCAGATATGATGGCCACATAGTAATATCTAAAAGATACAACAAAAAGAGGAAAGTTACAGTTGGGGAGGGTGTGCCAGCCTTGAAGAAGGCCATGTTAACGGAGACAACATGGCCCTCAGGAGTGCCACCAGCTTTGAGGAGATCGAATTGGGAAGCTCTGAATCTACGGATACTCTCAATGCTTTTAAGGAGATTCTCCATAGCAGAGTTGTCATAGAGCTTGGCACCATGGCCTGGGGGTCCTTTAGCCTTAATCACCAACCACCACGGACTCCTCTCTCCATAGAATACTCTGTAACTCTCAGTAGTCGATGGCAGACCTGACTCAAGTCATCATCACCCCATCCCCAACCCAAAATATAAGACGACAGTTAACATAAAAAAAAGAAAGAAAGAGTGTTTTACTAATTTTACTTACCTTCGTCGAGCACGATTCCTACGTTCAAGCTCTTGAAGAGGTGAGATTCGGCGAACTTCTGTGCTCCATCGTAGCCGCCAAGCTCTTCATCGGGGACGAAGGAGAGATAGACGGATCGGATTGGGTGGAAGCCAGAAGCCTGGAGCTTGCGTATTGCCTCGAGGTACTGCATCCCAACGCACTTCATGTCCTGCGAACCTCTCCCATAAATGTCTCCCTGCTTGTCCATGTGAGCTTGGAGCGGGTGGTGGTCCCACTTGGATTCCTCGAAGGGAACGACATCTGTGTGGGAGTTTAGGAGAATCGCAGGTAGAGTTTGGTCCGAGCCAACCCATTTTAGGAGGATAAGCGGCTTTCCCTTGACGAACTCGGTCGTCTGAGACTCCAGGGAGAGGGATTTCGCCTGAGAGTTGATAAACTCAACAGCTTTGTAGTAATCCGGATTTGGCTGAACCGTCTCGATTCGGAGATACTCCTGGAATCTTGAGACTACAGCGTCGTCATCGTCAGCCAGGATGCCGCAGCATAGATGAAGAACATTAAGAGCAAGGAGAAAGAAAAGACGACGACTCATCATTGGTGAAGATTCTTCTGCAAGCAGCGATCGTAGTTGTTAGGGATATTAATTTGAGACTCTCAGGCCATGTAGGACTGATAATCACTCAATTTTACATGGATGAAATGTACGTATGAGTAAATTGGCCTTCCTTTAGTTATGATCTTCTTTGAATTGAAAATTGGGCCGCTGAATGAGATGGGCCTGAAAAAACGTTATTGGTCCTTCTCTCTTCTGTTTTTTTCTTTTCTTTATAGAGAGATGGTATGAAACAGAACTATCAAAGTCAAAACATGTCAGAGAAATCTTTTGTCGCTATCATCCCCACAAATCTTGAAAGGGGAGCCTGATGATCAAAAGGAACCCCTAAAACCCTCTCAAACGCATCGCTTTTTGTCTGCCACTTTGTGACTGACTCTGAGGATCCCAAACATAATCGCACCACACATTGGTCGTTCATGGATTCTGGGCTTAAGCATCCCTCATTGCACCTCTTCGTTCTTCTCTGCTGCCTCTTTCAAGCCACCGCCGAGGATGGTGGCTGGAAGATAGCCACCGCCACACTTTCCAGAGACAAGGACGGCTCCTCCTCTGTCACCACTGGTTGGTTCTTCTTTCTTTCTCCCTTTATCTATCTTTCTTCTTTCCTCAGGAGGACTAACTAACAAAACAACTAATATATAGGAGGCGCTTGTGGGTATGGAGATCTGAGGCAGAGCAGCTATGGCGGGTACAGCGCAGGCCTGAGCGGGAAGCTGTTCAACAGGGGAAGCAGCTGCGGAGCTTGCCTGGAAGTGCGGTGCGTGAACCACATCAGGTGGTGCCTTCAAGGCAGCCCCTCCGTGGTGGTCACAGCCACAGATTTCTGCCCTCCCAATTCAGGCCTTTCCTCCGATTACGGAGGTTGGTGCAACTTCCCAAAGGAGCATTTGGAACTATCTCATGCGGCCTTCACAGGGATTGCAGAGACCAGAGCCGAGATAATACCTGTGCAGTACAGGAGGGTCAAGTGTGGGCGCAGAGGCGGGTTGAGATTCAGCTTGAACGGGAGCTCCCACTTCTTTCAGGTGTTGATAAGCAATGTAGGACTCGATGGGGAAGTGGTTGGAGTGAAAGTTAAGGGGCATCAAACTGCTTGGATTCCAATGGCCCGAAACTGGGGACAGAACTGGCACTCCTCCCTCGATCTCATCGGACAGTCTCTCTCTTTCGAGGTTACTCTCATCGGCGGCAAAACCATTGCCTCTTACGACGTGGCTCCCCCTTATTGGCGCTTTGGAATGACATATCAAGGAAAGCAGTTTCTTTCGTGACTAACCTCTCCTCTTTTCCCTTTTCTTTTCTTTATGATTGATTCACTTTCGGTGGTCAAAACACGTTGTTGTGGGGCTTGATGACTTTAAAGACAAATATGTAATCACTTCAGTTTATGGTATAAATGACTTTGCCGTTATCTTTATATATATATATATATATTGATATCCTACACAATGATTACGAGTAGGAAGTGTTTCTACTATGCTCATGACAGCTTTGCAATTTACAATCACGATTGAAAGGAAGAATATAAGACAGTGCAGACAATTTATATTGATTGTTGAATGGAAAATGATGAAAACGAAGCAGATGATACTGGGATCTCAATCGATGGCAGAAAAAAAAGGATACTGGCTGAAATGGGATATGATTCGGTCAGTGCTGAACTCGATACTCAAGTGGAATATGTATGTATTTGGGTTGTTAAAGACAGCAGACATTGATGAGAAAGCAATCAGGAGAGACAAACCTGAGGATTTGGTTGTGGCTATAGCTCAAGCTAAGGCTGATGAGATTATATCCAAACCTGGAGGTCTAAGCTCAAGATCCTCAGCCAACCTTATTGATTACTGCTGACACTGTATTGTATTTGCTTACTCTTTTCTTGTTTTACTATTAGAATTTTCTGTCTCTTGTGATTAATATTGTTATTATATTTTAAACTTGAGGTGTGATTATTGGTAGGTTGTTGTGTACAAAGGTGTCATTAGAGAAAAACCAACCACCAAGGATGAAGCTCGCCTTTTTATCAAAGGTTTCTTTCTCTTTGCCCAAGTTCTATTTTTCTACTTCTGTAACAGACTATGCCATTAAGTTAAAGGCAATTGAAAGGGCTGTGATTTTTCTTTGAAACCTGCACCAGGCTATTCCGGCTCACACGGAGGTGTTGTGGGCTCTGTTTTGGTAAGCAACTTGAAACTGGTGTTCAAAGAATCGGATGGGACAAATCTGAGGTACACTCACTCTTAACATCTACATATCCTCCTCTTCTCTTTAGATGATATTTTTCCGTCGATGAAAAAAAAACTAAACAGTCTCCTTACTCTTTCCTCGAATTTGCTCTCGTTTTTTTTGGTTCTTCTAAAAACTCTTTCTTGTGGGTTTAACAATTTGTGTGGTTATGTTTGTGACGCAGGTTTATTTCCATGAGATTCCAGAAAAAGTCATTGACGATATCTTGTAAAACCCCCCCACTCATTCTTCTTTCCTTACTTGTATTAACCAGAGTCGTGTTACATCTAAGCTTGTGTTTTCAATATTCCGATTGATGCTGCGTTAACTTTCAAAGTTGCTGGAGCATCCCCTCATTTCACCCTTTATCTATACCATGGTTAGCCTCGATCACGCACTTTCAGAAAGAAATGAAGCTGCATCGGCAATTGCTGTTAGTGTCACCCGAGATAATCGACCTCATTCATACATCGCCCGAGATGCACCGGTTTGGCTTCAGCATTTACTCACTTTGGAAGCTCGACAGTAATAGGAGACGGTGAGATTTTTTTTCTTTCTCCATTTTTGTGCGGTAAAAATGCGGTGTCTACTGACATCCTAGTCCATTTCTTGTTTTTGCTTTGTATCACAACGTTTCTTTGTACATGTTCAAGTGTTATAAGAAAAAAATAAGCTTTTGTGTAATGTTCCAGGATATTGTTGCTTAGATGTACACACTTCTAAAAGCCTTTTACGTTGTAACCTTATAGGTGGGAGGAGTTGATACAGTCATGGGACTTCCTAAAGAACTCACTGAAAAAATCATTGACTATGTGTTGTAGCTCAACCCCCTCCCCTTTTGAAGATTCGTCATGTAGGAAGGCTTAGACTGACTCCTATTGCAACATTAAAATATTATGATGTTTAATCGACTTGTGGTATAAAAAGATTAAAATTCCTGCAACACAAGTTACAAGTACTGTATATAACTAGACTTTTACTGAAGCTTTATAGTCATCAATTGGAAACAAGTACATACTGTAAATGATGTGTTTTGAAGATATCGAAGGTTAGGAATTTCAGTAAATTACAAATGAATTATAGCTGGAAGCAATGTAATATTTGTGCATTAACAGATTCGAGGGAATCTAATCATATTGTAAATAATTTTATAGAATAAATCCACTTTTTAAATATAATGATTAAAAAAAACTCTTGCAACAATTAAATATCATTTACTTAATTTAATTGAAAATAAAAATAACATTTTTGATAAGAAAAGAAAATATATCATGAACCGTATGTAAGTGAAAATATTATTAATATTTTTGTCGTTTGAATATTTAAAAGTAGTTTGACCTTAAAAAGAAACACGAATATAAAATCCTATAATAAAAATAAAAATCCGAAAATAGCACAAGTCAATTAAATTTTAGAGCTACTAAAAATAGGTTGATACATAACATCGCATTCTAAAACTAGTGGCATAAACAGTTTTCATGTCCTAATAATCCTCCTCTCCTCTCCTTCTTTTTTTTTTGTTTTTCTTAACTGTGAGAAGATAAAAATTCATGTATTATCTCGTGAAAAGGTTAAAATTCATGTATCAACTTTATTCTGTATGATCACATTGATTCAGACAGAAACAAATCTTCATTATTTTGCTTAACAATGGCGTCCACCCCTCCTCAAACTTCTAAGAAAGTTCGTAACAATTCTGGTAGTGGCCAGACTGTTAAATTCGCAAGACGGACATCCAGTGGACGATACGTGAGTTTATCTCGGGACAATATTGAATTATCGGGCGAGTTCTCTGGAGACTATTCTAACTATACAGTGCACATACCTCCAACGCCTGACAACCAGCCTATGGCCACCAAAGCCGAAGAGCAGTATGTGTCAAATTCCCTATTTACTGGTGGTTTTAACAGTGTCACACGTGCACATCTTATGGACAAAGTCATAGACTCAGATGTCACACACCCTCAGATGGCTGGCGCTAAAGGTTCTTCGTGTGCCATGCCTGCCTGTGACGGAAAAGTCATGAAAGACGAAAGAGGAAAAGACGTGATGCCATGTGAATGTCGGTATGTGTGTATATATTAAACACAATAGTACTTAATTTGCTTATTTCACAAAGCAAGGACAAGGTGTCTAACCAGCTTAGTGGTTGCTTAGGTTCAAGATTTGCAGAGATTGCTTCATGGACGCTCAGAAAGAAACGGGTTTATGTCCGGGATGTAAGGAACAATATAAAATTGGTGACCTAGACGATGATACACCTGATTTTTCTAGTGGTGCTCTCCCCTTACCAGCTCCAGGAAAAGATCAACGTGGCAATAACAACATGTCTATGATGAAAAGGAATCAAAACGGTGAATTTGATCATAATAGATGGTTATTTGAAACACAAGGAACATATGGTTATGGAAATGCGTATTGGCCTCAAGATGAAATGTACGGTGATGATATGGATGGTGAAGGAATGAGAGGTGGCATGGTGGAAACAGCTGACAAGCCATGGCGGCCTCTGAGCCGGCGGATCCCAATCCCAGCTGCCATCATAAGCCCATATAGATTGCTAATCGCAATTCGTTTTGTGGTGCTATGTTTTTTTCTAACTTGGAGGATTAGAAACCCTAATGAAGACGCAATATGGTTATGGTTGATGTCAATAATATGCGAGCTTTGGTTTGGATTTTCATGGATTTTAGATCAGATCCCAAAGTTGTGTCCTATAAACCGCTCTACCGACCTAGAAGTTCTTCGTGACAAATTTGACATGCCTTCTCCTTCGAACCCAACAGGGAGATCCGATCTCCCAGGAATTGACCTCTTTGTGTCCACAGCAGATCCTGAGAAAGAGCCACCCCTTGTCACTGCCAACACTATTCTTTCCATATTGGCTGTTGACTATCCAGTGGAGAAAGTGTCATGTTACCTTTCTGATGATGGAGGAGCCCTTTTATCATTTGAAGCTATGGCAGAAGCTGCTAGTTTTGCAGACCTATGGGTGCCTTTTTGTCGCAAACACAACATTGAACCTCGAAATCCAGATTCATATTTTAGTCTGAAGATAGATCCAACAAAGAATAAGAGTAGGATTGATTTTGTGAAAGATAGGAGAAAGATTAAGAGAGAGTATGATGAGTTCAAGGTTCGTATCAATGGGCTCCCCGACTCAATACGAAGGAGGTCAGATGCATTTAATGCAAGAGAGGAAATGAAAGCTCTAAAACAGATGAGAGAAAGCGGAGGTGATCCAATGGAACCTGTGAAGGTCCTCAAAGCTACATGGATGGCTGATGGTACCCACTGGCCAGGGACTTGGGCAGCTGCTACTCGAGAGCATTCCAAAGGTGATCATGCTGGAATTTTACAAGTGATGTTGAAACCACCTAGCAGTGATCCTTTGATCGGCAATGACAGCGATAAGATCATCGATTTTTCAGAAACAGATACCCGTTTACCCATGTTTGTGTATGTTTCACGTGAAAAACGACCTGGTTATGATCACAACAAGAAAGCTGGAGCTATGAATGCACTTGTTCGTGCCTCTGCTATTCTTTCAAATGGTCCTTTCATCCTTAATCTTGATTGTGATCATTACATTTATAATTGTAAGGCCATTCGCGAAGGGATGTGTTTTATGATGGACAGAGGTGGTGAAGATATTTGCTACATTCAGTTTCCACAAAGATTTGAAGGAATCGATCCTTCTGATAGATATGCTAACAATAACACTGTATTCTTTGATGGTAATATGCGTGCCCTCGATGGTGTCCAGGTATATATATTTTTTCTTTAATATAAACCAACTATAAATGTGTTGCATCCTTTGGTTTGTAATGAAATAATAACGATTTTTTTTTTCATTTTTTTTGTAGGGGCCAGTTTATGTTGGAACAGGTACTATGTTTAGGCGCTTTGCCTTATATGGTTTTGATCCACCAAATCCTGATAAGATTTTGGAGAAGAAGGACTCAGAAACAGAAGCTTTAACCACCAGTGACTTTGACCCAGACCTTGACGTCACGCAACTCCCCAAGCGCTTTGGAAACTCAACACTCCTAGCGGAGTCAATTCCTATTGCAGAGTTCCAAGGCCGTCCATTGGCAGACCACCCTGCTGTCAAGTATGGTCGTCCTCCCGGAGCCCTTAGAGTCCCTCGCGACCCACTTGATGCCACCACTGTCGCAGAATCTGTTTCTGTAATCTCTTGTTGGTACGAAGATAAAACGGAGTGGGGAGATAGAGTCGGATGGATTTATGGATCAGTGACAGAGGACGTGGTCACAGGGTATCGCATGCATAATCGTGGGTGGCGCTCTGTTTACTGCATCACCAAAAGAGATTCTTTTCGAGGCTCTGCACCCATTAATCTCACAGATCGTCTTCACCAGGTGTTACGGTGGGCAACCGGATCTGTTGAGATCTTCTTTTCTAGAAACAACGCCATTCTCGCCTCAAAACGTCTCAAGTTCCTCCAACGTCTTGCGTACCTTAATGTCGGAATATACCCTTTCACCTCATTGTTTCTAATCTTGTACTGTTTTCTTCCGGCATTCTCTCTTTTCTCTGGACAGTTTATCGTGCGGACGCTCAGTATCTCTTTCTTAGTTTACCTCCTTATGATCACCATTTGTTTGATTGGCTTGGCGGTTCTTGAGGTTAAGTGGTCAGGCATTGGACTGGAGGAATGGTGGAGAAATGAACAGTGGTGGCTTATCTCTGGAACAAGTTCTCACCTGTATGCTGTAGTCCAAGGAATTCTCAAAGTCATTGCAGGGATAGAAATTTCATTTACCTTGACATCCAAATCAGGAGGAGATGACAACGATGACATATACGCTGATTTATACATAGTAAAATGGTCGTCGTTGATGATACCGCCTATTGTGATAGCAATGGTGAACATAATAGCAATCGTGGTGGCGTTCGTCAGGACAATATACCAAGCAGTGCCACAATGGAGCAAGTTAATTGGAGGAGCATTTTTCAGTTTCTGGGTGTTGGCACATTTGTATCCATTTGCAAAAGGACTAATGGGACGAAGAGGAAAGACTCCAACAATAGTTTTTGTCTGGGCAGGTCTTATTGCCATCACCATCTCTTTACTGTGGACGGCTATTAATCCTAATTCTGGACCTGTTGCTGCTGCTGAAGGTGTTGGAGGTGGTGGGTTTCAATTTCCCTGAAAATATTTACTTATATATATATAGGCGACACTGAGTTTAGTAGACTAACTAATCA